TCTATCTATCTATCTATCTATCTATCTATCTATCTATCTAATCTATCTAATCTATCTATCTATCTATCTATCAATCAATCTATCTATCTATCTATCTATCTACTCATACTAATGCCCTTCTGTTTCGATAGATCTTCTCATTTTGAGGTTGCAGTAGTGTGTATATATATATATATTTCTTTTTTGAAGTTAACATGATTTTCTGGTGGTTTAACTCCGCAAATACGTGATGTTACAGAAATGCTAGCGGAGGCAATATAGGGTTTGTTGAAAACGGGGTATACCCAAAACCACAGCTGAATGATCAAAATTTGTCTGAAAAATTGCAATGGATTAAGTCTATTCCCTATTTTCAGACAAACCCATCTCATATTGCTAAATGATCCAATCATATTGTGCTCCTATAAACTGATTGGCTTTATGTCCGCACTTAACAATAATATACATACATATATATATATTATATACAGTGCCCAAGAATACCATTGGTTTGTATCATATTGGTCATATTGGTTATAATTCTCGCTTTAATGTCCCCATTGAAATCATCTGTTTTGTAAAATCCAATCCATTTCTCCAAATTTTGCTCGGTTATAGTTCTCCCTGTTGGTATCATATTGGTTTAAATTCAAGTTGTGCTTGTGATAAATTTTCCACATTGGTCATAATTCTCCATGTGTAAATTCAATATTCGCTATATTGTCATTTGTAGATTTACATTTTGAACCAATTATCCATATTGATTATCATTATCGTGTTGGTTATAAATCCTGTTGTCCATTTATAACCAACTGGGGGATTTAAACCATTTTGTATTCAATATTGTTACCCATTTATAACCATTTAGTATCATTATCTTGCTGGTTATAATTGTTAAATCCCCCAGTCCCAGTTCCCCAGTTGCCAGTCAGCAGGGCATCGTGCTGTTGCAGCTAGCCATCATCGGCTGCACCCGGGGCTACGTTTGGATCGGCGAGACCCTAGCGGTGCTGAAGTTGTTCTATGACCGAGGCAATGTGCCCTTCCTTTGCGGTGCCTCTGATGTTGGGGTGGTTGGCGGAAAAAAAACTGCTGACTTTCGACTGTGAGGTGAAATGAGGCGAAGATTGTGCTTTTGGAGTTTTTGGCCTGAGTTTCGAGAATTTTACATCAGCAAAACCTGCTTGAACAAATCACCCAATTCTTTTGAATTAAAGTTTTTCGCTGGGTATTTTACATAAGCAATGTTTTTGTTGGAGGTAGCATTCTTTATTGGCGGTTTTATATAAGTGGATTTCATTTTTTTGGACGCAAGTGTGCCGCAGGGAACGTCTGAGTTCCAGACAGAGTCGACTCTTGATGTGGGTCAAAACCTGATTATCACATATGGCTATGAGTCAATACCTATTAATACCATTTTTAGAGGGATGAACATCCATTTACCAGCTATTTTTATGTTCACCAGGGGTACAAGGTTTTGACCCACTGCCATGTAACTTTTTATAACTTCCATTCATTTTTGGTTACGTGACCTCGAACTGGTGGTTTTTTCCAAAGGTCACTTTGAAGAACCAGGTCACTGGCTGTGTTTCAATGCTAACCATTCTTGGGATTCCCCAATTTTGACCGAATGAGGGATATCAGAACTCTCATGGTGGCTCAAGCCCAGGACACAACTGCCCCTTTTTAGTAAGGACTGGTGGGGGTGAGCGTGTCAGTATGCAGCCGCATAACAGAAATCCCCATCGCACCGGCAATCTCAGATAGCCATAGATAGCCTGCTTCACATGTAGCTGGCTGGTATTTTCCTCCATTCATTGAATTTACTTGGATTTGCTTCATGATCATGGTCAAACCGCATCTAACCCCATTCAATCCCAAATCCCCAAGCTTATTGGACCAATTCGAAACCACGAAGCTACTCAACCAAGGTTTGCCCAGATCTAAGCCTAAGGCCCATGTCGTCACCTGAAAGATCAGTTTCAATGGGTATTTTGGCGGTCGTCCTTCTGCTGTATGGGGATTTGACAAAAGCCCTGTACCTTGAAGGTCCCCAAAAAGGACCACATAGCCATTGATCGAACGACCACCTGATTCAACGATGATCGAAGTGAATTGAGGATCCATGGTGTTCACTGTGAAGCATTTGTTTGCATAAAATCGTTGGTGGTTGCACAGCAAGCCCCAAAATGATGCAGCAAAGTAAAATCTAGTCCTAAAAATAGAGATAAAATAAAGCTAGTCTATTTTTTTTGGGTTGCCATAAACATATATTAAAGACTTATTTTACTGATTTTTCCTCAGCAGTTTTCCAAGGTGGCCTGTTTGGTGGCATCCTGATGAGTTGCTTCAACCTGCTGATGCTGCTGGATGCAGTGCAAGCGGCCCTGAAGTGGCTCCCCAAGCCGCGACCGCGACCTGCCAAGGTTGCCAAGGCCGGTCCTCGGAAAAATCAGGAGATGTCGCCGAAAAATGCCGAAAAAAGATTGCAATGTTCATGGGAAAAATGGAGGAATCATGATGATCAACCAGCCCAATGCGTTTTTTTTTCAAAGAATTCTGATTGGGTTTGTAAAGATGCTGAACCATGTCAATTTTGGGCAAACATGTTTTGCTCATCCAGCTGGGTATTCGACCAGTAAAACGGTCCCGAATATCTATCTATCTATATATATATATCTATAATATATATATATATTTATACATATAAATATGAATATTATATCTATATTTATATGTATTGATCGATTAATATATGACAGTATTATTATCAGTTAGATGATAGTGTACATACAATATACTTATATTGTTAGTTCATACGGTTAATAGTGTTACAGTAATATCAGATAGTAATTGACTATCCATTAACAACTGTTATTATTACTACCATCAATACAGGATGGTGCCCCCCCAGTTATAAGTTGGTTTATAAATCCCATTAACTATAGTTATATTTGCCATAAACCATAGTTACGGGAGTTATAAACCAACTTAGCTAACTATGGGGCACCACCTTGTAAGTATACTATTACATTAATATTCCCTGTCAGTACTGCTATTGATCGTTCACAGCGAACTCGCAACATCGAGGCCGACGAGATCAGCAATGAGAGCCCAATATATCTGTTGAAACGCCAAGATAAGGAGCTCCTTCATAGGCGGGTGATTGGCTGGAGATTGGAGAAAGGATATGTACATATATATGTTATTGGATTAGTATTCTTTACGTATACATATATAATCATACATATATAATCATACATATATAATCATATATATATATATATTATATTAAATATGTATATATGTTTATATGTACATATGTACATATGTATATATGTAACATGTATATATGTATATATGTATATATGTATATATGTATATATGTATATATGTATATATGTAAATATGTATGTATATATATGTATATGTATATATGTATATATGTATATATGTATATATGTATATATGTATATATGCATATATGTATATATGTACATATGTATATATGTATATATGTATATATGTATATATGTAAATATGTATGTATATATATGTATATATGTATATATGTATATATGTATATATGTATATATGTATATATGTATATATGTATATATGTATATATGTATATATGTATATATGTATATATGTATATATGTATATATGTATATATGTATATATATATATATATGTATATATGTATATTAGGATATATTATACATACATGCACACACACATATATACACATGTATTATGACCTATTATGTATATGCATATGTGTTTAACTATACACGTATATATATATATGTATATATATATATGTATATATTCCATTGGACGAATTATTGTAACGACCTCACTACAACGGCACTGGAAGTAGGGGTAACTATCCCATGGCCGTAATTCAAATGGGAGCTTTTAACATTTAACCAACCATTTTACAGGGATACAACTCCTAAGAGCAGTGTTTGTTGGGTTTCAATCTCTGGGGTCTGGAAGTGCTGGGTCGTTTGCACAGGGGAAAGGTTGCAGTGGGAGCAGAGGTTGTCCTCCTCACCAATTGAGGCAGGGTTGATGCCGATCGTGTGTTGGGTGATGAGTGGTGAGGAAAGTCCTTGCTTTGTTGGTGATTGTTGTACTTGGGAATCCTGAAAAGAATCTGTGAAACCTGCTCAAGTGCGGATTTCCTACAATTGGGGTACCCCAAATCATCCAAAGTTCGACCATTTTTGCAATTTTAGTATTGGAACCCATGTTTTTTTGGGGTGCCACTAATTTTAGGAAACATCCAAGTGTACAGACAATCGGGGTGTCTGCATTCACAAAGATCAGCACAATCCTCCTGCCAAATTTTGGCCACCTCCTTTCTGGTTTTCACCTCCGAAACAGATTCTGGGCAGCACTTTCGGGGACAGATCTAAAGGTCGTCCCATTCAAGTCCTAGTCCCCCAGTTTTTTTGTTCGTGTGGGAAAAACAATGCCATAAACCACCCATGACTGGGAGTGGTTTACACCACCTATAAAAATGGTGATGACTGGGGGATGGTGCAGATGGCATTGTTTTACCCACCTTACAACCGAAGTTGCCCTTTGGGACCCCTCGTCAGGTTGATGAACGCGGTGCCAATTTGCTGAGACACAAAGTCTTGGCACCCAAGGGATACATCGTACTTCAAGGTGGTGCCCCCCCAGTTATAAGTTGGTTTATAAACCATAGTAAGTATAGATATATTTATATCATAAACATATATCTACCATATATATATATATATCTACATAAACCATATATCATATATGTATATATACATATACATATCTACCATAAACCATAGTTATTGGAATTATAAACCAACTTAGCTAACGAACTGGGGCACCACCTTGTTGGTGTTTCTTATCGCCGAAGTGGCAAGTTGAGTTTTAACAAGCCATATGGCCATTTGGGTGTGTCAAGAATTGGGGGATTAACTCCATTGAGTGGCAACTTTCATAGGGAACATGATGATAAACCAATGGATTCCGTCTTTTGTTCCCCACAACTTTCGATCACCCCCCTGAGAAAATTTTGTGGCTTCTTCTGCTGACTGCAGAGTTGGCCAAGCGTTGGTGACTTCCCATCTATCAGCTGACTCAGCACCGCGAAAGATTTCGAGTCGGCGAGGTTGGGAAAGCATCAACTTGCGTAGCGATTTCTTATAGCATTTTCTTCCCATTCCTACCTCGGTTGTATAGTGACCGCAGTTGCGGAGCCGAGGAAGCATGGCTGTAAAGAGCCAAGTTGTGGACAGGGAAAGATCTGACTTTGTTGTGCAAAAATGGTCGCTGGACCAGGGAAATACTTCTACAATGGATCTATGCCGCGACACTGGTGGGACTTCTTGTCTGGATGTAAGCTGGGAACAATTGGACTATTTGAGAATTGTATCTCATGTAAGTATCTAAGCATACAAAAATGTGTAGATATATATGAGGATCATCCCACTTAGTAAGTGCTTAATAACCCTGGTGATTGGGGTCGTCCCTGATTCGTGGATGCTCCGTTTTTTGTAAACGGGAGGACTAAGCCCAGAGCCCAGTTGCTAATCACTTACTAAGTGGATTCATCCTCAAAGTACACATGTATTCTGGGCAAATTTGATCACGACCGAAGCCTGTTCTCCCGAAGCCTGGTTCATCATGGTTACATGATGAGTTACATGGTTTATTTTAGAGGAATCATCCCAATAGCTGGCCCAACATTTCAGGTTAGTGAATTATAATTTGCCCAGATAGATATCTATAGCTATTGATCCATAATCCAACAGTTCTATGATCATCCAGCAATAGGGGTAATTGTTCAAGCCAGCAGTTGTATCATGTTGTATCTATAGCTATAAAATATAGTATATATATATATTTATATAGATAGCAACATCTATCTAACAGCTATAGATACCAACAGTTGCTGGTTGGTGGTTTCAAACATTTTTCATTTTCCATTTTTTATATGGGAGAATCCTTCCCATTTACTTTCATATTTTTCAAGATGGTTAAAACCACCAACCAGAAATCCCGGTGTTTGGGATTATTTACATATTACTAGACTATATACCACTACAATATCACATATATATATATAAGTATGATATCCAGTACTCGGGTTATATGATTAAAATAGTACCAGGTTGTATCTATCTGCTATGGATGTGCTGTTTATCTATAGCTCTACCAACCCGACCGTCCCGTCGTTGGACCGATGATCCGAACGCTGTTCGTTCTCGGTCACGTTGCGTAACCGGACTGGAGAACAGGATAGAACAGCGCAAAAGATCCGATTTTCACTTATTCACTATCAAAATCTTTTACTAGTTTAGATATTTTAAGATATCTAGATATTTTTGATGATATTTGATGATATTTGATGATATCTAGCGCCAAAGGACATGACTTGTCTGCATCGGCGGCTACTTGTCACTGCTTCGCCAAACCAGGCCCGAGTTAATTATCATTAGTTGATCCCGATGATACGATGATATTGTCACTATACGTCGTCCCCCCTCATTTGATGATCAACAACTGGCCATGAGTTCAATGGCCATGAGTCAAAAGCCCAGCTACGCAGCTACCCAAAGTCAGGCTGCTTCATGGATGTAAAAGTTCCACCTGATGGTACAGTCATTGAGTAAATTTCATCACGACCGAAGCCTGTTCTCCCGAAGCCTGGAATCATGGTTTCTCCCCTTTTATGGCCCAACATTTCAGGTTAGTGAAATACTGTCATTTGCCCAGATCTATGTATCTATACAATGTATCCTGATTGGTGGTTTTGGACAATTTTTTATTTTTCCAAATGCTGGGAATAATCAGTTATAAGTACTTATAACCCCATTTATAGAATGTATAATCCCGTTTATAACCAGTTATAACTAATAAATGGCCATAACTGTAGGATTTGTCCCATCCCATCCCATCCTGATCCCCATCTGCAGGGACTCTGAAGGCTGGAGTTGGGGACGGAACATGTGGTTTTCAGCCGACCAATTATTGAGGTATAAGAATTGGGAGTGAGATTTTTCATGATTAATGGGACATAGGGGGATGAATGGGATATAATGTTTTTTTTGTGATTTAGTGGGATTTAAAGATTAATGGGATTTTTCATGTACTGCATGAATGGTGATTCACCAAAATGATAAATGGGAATATACTGGGAATAATGATATCGCCAATAAGTTAATGGCCGGGATATGCCGGGAATATATTAATGCAAAAATCATGGGACAATAATGGGAACAATGATATCTAATGGAGGGAGCTAAGGAGCCATGGGTTTTCATATTCCCTATTAAATGGTGAGCGAAGGAGCTACTTAGAGTGTGCCAACCATATGATAGATTAAATGATCATTTGCTAGTTTCTTGCGTTTCTTGCCAAATTTGGTTAAACCAATACATCATTGGAATCACATCTTGACTCAATTCTTGTTCTTAATCCCAATAATCAAAGCCAACTGGGGATGGTTTGTTATTGAGTTTGCCACATGGACCCATCATTAGCCCATATGGCTACTGATCAGGCCTATGAAGTACCATATTTTCTGTGATGGCACCGTCGATCAATCCTATCATTTAGAAGGCTATGAACAAACATAGCTATTGAAAATGACCATAGAAATAGTGGATTTACCCATTGAAAATGGTGATTTTCCATAGTTATGTTAGTTTACCAGAGGGTAGAAGGCTATAAACGACCGTGAACAGAAGGGGATTCTTTGAATGTCAAAAGACCCTGGAATCATCTGGAAACATCCGAAGAAGTCGACGAAACCCATCGTTCGACAAGTCGTTTCATGGCAATCATCCGGTGGAACATTTTTGCCAACTTTTTTCACCATGACAATGAGAAATTGATGGAAAAAAAACACCACTTTGATACAAAAAACACATTTAGAACATTTTGACTCACATTGTTGGAGGTTTTTGAAGTTCAGATTCCGCGCCATCCAGTGTCCTCTGTCCTTTTGTGGTCTTGGTCACTTTCTGCTTCTGCTTCGTTGGAAAAAGGCGTAGTTTGGATGTCCGTCCTGCACAAATTGGATCACGCAGCCTGTTCTCCGGAAGCCTGGAATCATCCCAGTAGTTACCCTCTGGCAAAACTAACATAGCTATTGAAAATGACCATAGAAATAGTGGATTTACATGGAGTTACCCATTAAAAATGGTGATTTTCCAGAGTTACCTTAGTTTACCAGAGGGTAGCTAACTCCAATAACTATGGTTTATGGCAGATATATCATCTATACTTACTGTGCAGGACCCTGGAATCATGGTTAATAAGAGGAAACATCCCAAAAATGGCCATAGCTGGCCCAACATTTCAGTTTAATGAATTAGTATCATTTGCCCAGATGAAATCCATTGTAGCAATATCCTGAGCTTTGATTCATGGCCATAGTGAATGGTACTGCGATCTGTGCCAAAATTAGACATGGATTACCACAAATATGGCAAGCCAAATATACTGCGCTTGTGCACAGGCATACAAAAAAAAGAATCCTCCACTAGCGGGATGCATAGAATTTCTTTGTCAAAAGTGTCAGAAACGTCGATGTATTGCAACTTCCTTATGGATGTGTTAAAATCCTGTGATTTTTCATTTTTATCTGGGTTTTTCTCATTCGCATTTCCACCTCCCCAGGGTTCTAGGAACATCCCATGGAGTCCATGGATTCCGCAGGTGAAGGGATGGACATGATGAAAGCCAAGAGCCTCAATCCAAGTCGCGGCAGACAGGCGGCTCAGGGTCAGCCGAGCGGCTCGTTGCGAAAAAAAAACACGGGGTTTAAACATGTGATGGACAACAGCCGATAATTTTTTTGTGGATTTGTGACTCAACTACCAACCAAAAATAATCTTAGTGCTGTACATGCTCTTACATAGCCGTTTTTTTGAAAAAATCTTCTCAAGTTGTCACTTTTCTTGGAGATGTCTATCTTTGAGCCCATAATTGTCCCAGCGGAAAGCTGGATCAAACACCCATTATTTTTGCATGGTTGGTTAATGTGATTTTCATCCACATTGGATTGTTTTCCTCAGTGTACCCTCTGGTTATGTCAAAATAGCTATTGAAAATGGCCATTTATAATGGATTTACCCATTGAAAATGGTGATTTTCCATAGTTATGTTAGTTTTCCATTCAGTGTACGTTGATTGAATCTCCCGGCTTCTGGAAAGGCCAGATTTTCACAAAAATGCTGGTCAAATCTCAATCTTTCTGATCTAATCCCACGGATTCACACAGTGTGAAGTCATGATCTTTGCATGTTCAAGCCATCTTTTTCGTGAGAAAAATCCATTAAAACATCATATGTTTTATTTCGGATTTTGATAAGATTTTTTTGTGGATTTAACATCATATTTAACTATGTATTTTCCATAGGATTTCCCAGGTGAAGCTCTCATTTCTCCCGGTTTTTGAATCGTCTTAGAGGAAGAAAAATGCCTCAGGCGATGCGACGCAGCTCCATCCAGCAACCCAAGCCTCCAGTGACGTGGCAGCGGTGGCATCGCGGAAGGAGGGCACCAAGGGCTATGGCAAAGTTGGAGATGATTAGTGATTAGCTCTTCGTTGGTTAATCCCCTTTTTTATTCATGGTGTTTGGGTGATTTTATGGTGGTTTAATGGTGGTTTACCCTCTGGTTATGTCAAAATAGCTATTGAAAATGACCATTTATAGTGGATTTACCCATGAAAAATTGTGATTTTCCATAGTTATGTTAAATTACCAGAGGGTAGCGATTATCGTTGGTTAATCCCCTAATCACTAATCACTAATAGTAATGTCCTGTAATGGTAAATGCCTAATTTTAGAAGCTAAATCAACCATTTTCCGTAGCGATTATCGTTGGTTAATCCCCTAGTAATCATCCATTAATAGACTATGGATATCCCGATATCCCCTAACTAGTTGGTTAATTGTCCAATGTGATAACAAAGTGAGGAAATGCAGCACTTTCGGGGACAGATCTAAAGGTCGTCCCATTCAAGTCCTAGTCCCCCAGTTTTTTTGTTAGTGTGAGTAAAGCAATGTCATAAACTACCCATGACTGGGAATGGTTTATAGCACCTATAAAAATGGTGATGACCGGGGGATGGTGCAGATGGCATTGTTTTACCCACATTAGGGGATTAACCAACTAGTTAGGGGATATCCATAGTCTATTAATGGATGATTTCTATTGGATTAACCAACGAAGGGAAAATGGTTGATTTAGCTGCTAAAATTAGGCATTTTCCATTGCAGGACATTACTATTAGTGATTAGTGATTAGGGGATTAGCCAACTAATTGGGGGATACAAATGGGGATCATCCATTGAGTATAGGGATTGTTTTTATTTTACCAACCGGGGATACAAATAGTATCAAGATGACTAAGATTCATGGATGACCAACTGGGAATACTAATCTTCCATTATTTTATTTTGAATAATCATTGATAAGATTCATCCATGAAAATTGTGCGGATTCACCGTACGTGTTTTTGACCACTAGGTCACTAGGCTATGAACTCTAGCCTGGTATCTGGGTATGAGTCAAAAGCCTGGTACCCTAGTGAATTCCACATGGTAGTTTATATTTTGACATATCCCCAACTAGTATCAACTTTTAACAACGTTTTGATTGACCGACTATTACGGGATTATCTATTGAATCATTTCTTTTCTTGACTGTAGACCCATCACCTATTCGCCAGGAGTTGGAGGTAAATCATGATAATCAGGAATAAGCATCAATAGTCCATTACCCTCTGGTAAATAAACAGTTTGACCCTGAAAATCACCAATTTTCAATGGAAACTAGTCTTCCAACCCCGATGACTGCCAGGGTCTATGTTAATTTACCAGAGGGTAATTATGAATAGGGGATTGACCAACTGTCTTTTTCCAGCTAGAAGATCTACAGGTGAATAATCCACTATCAATAGCCATCAATCATCCAAGAATTATAATCATCAACAATCCATTAGGTTTTGTTTTTTCCAACTACAGGCAATCTTTGGAATCTTTGGAAATATCGCCAACCAAAAAAAGGAGATTTTTTTCTGTAGAACCAGCAATTGTTGGGGGATAAAAATCTAAAATTCGTCACCAAATTGGGATGATTTCAGCAAATCATTAGATCCATAGCCTCCGTTTTACATGACACGTTTTTTTTTTGGGAAAATCCTCCGTACTTTGTTTGCTGTGATTTTCCCATGAGCTCCTCCGTATACTTTGTTGTTCGGGAAAAAATCGAATTGCCCTGTTTGATTTTTCAGGTACGAATCATCTGTCTGTTATTTGTTTCCCATGCTGATGAAGTGGTTATGATGATTAATGATGATTAATGATGATTAATGATGATTAATGATGATTAATGATGATTAAGTGGGTAATTGCGATGATTCGTTGGGATTTGCTGGCAATTTCGATTGCCTTGCAAGTAGATGATAGCTGCATGGAGATTTAAACTTACAGATTATTATTACCATTAAAATACAGATAATTAACGTGTAGTAGTAGCTTACCAATAGGATTACACAGCGTTTTGCTAGGTGACCAGTACAAAATTGGGATGTGAGAAGACATTTTCTGTTTTTTTTGTGTTTTCACGGTGAATTCGTGGAATTTTAATGGCAAAAGACATGGAGATCTAACCATTAGAGATGGGGAAGTGGCTTTTCCAATGGAGAGATCATGGGGATAGATACGAGACAACCAAAGATAGCGGCTAGTTGTATTAGAAATGGGGGATAGTGGGAGCATCAAACTTAGGGTTTTTCCGAATCTTTTTTTTTGATTCTCCCCAGCAAGAGTTTTGGGAACATTATGTGTAAATTTCACCAGGAAAAACAGGAACACCTGGGGTCATTCTGCAGCCGTTGTGTTTCTCACAAAGAAATTGGGAACGAAAGGAAACCATGGGAAGCAAATCGATTACCCTCTGGTAATTTAACATGGCTATTGAAAATGGCTCATTTATAGTTGATTTACCTATTAAAGATGGTGATTTTCCATAGTTATGTTAGTTTACCAGAGGGTAAATCAGGATCCCAATGATAGGTTTGGGAGAATTGGAACATCGAGGAGTTGGCTAATTTGGAGCTGCGGTGTGGGGATCGATAGCCTTTTTTTTATCGGCACCATGGGCAGGAATGAACATCTAAACAGCCAGCGCTGTGCCAACCGTTGTGAACCATCCCCAAACAGTACCCGAAATGGTAAACGTTTACAGTTTGCGAAGTGGAAAGATCCACCATGCATTTTTGATGGGTAAATTCCCACTATTTCGACAGGGCTTCGACAGGGCCATGGCTTCAATAGCGAACTGTAACAGTCATTACCAGAGGGTAGTGGGTCGACATTTTGCAGAGATTGATTTTTGCAGACCTTCGGATGGTTCGTTTTTTCGTTTTTCTGGTTGGTACTGGGTGAGATTCGGATGAAGTAAGTTTTTGGCTGAGGTTTCTGTGGTGTTGAGGTTGTAACTGAAATATGTTGCTTTCCTCCTTTTTTCGGGATCTTGTTGGGGAGCAGATTTCAGAAATATGTGGTTTCTTCCCCCCAGTGTTGGGATGGAATCCCACAACGCCGATTTCAATTAGGAACAGATCTTCCAAACCCAGGGACCCAGGGGCCTTGGTAGCTTCCAGTTACTCTCTGGCAAGATAGCCGTGGAACATGCATCATTTATAAATGATTTACCGATTATTCAGAGGGTGATTTTCCATGGCAATGTTGAATTACCAGACGGTCCTCATTCTCACTGTCGTGAGCATCTTCGGATGTCCTTCTGCTGATGTGGCCTCTACATTGATCCTCATTTTGAACCCATTTCTGCTTGCTGGATCCATGTCCCTGACAATATACGAGAAATACAGCTTTCGCGAATAGTGCAAATATCTCCATTTTTGGACCGCGTTGCGAGATCTTCGAATTCCGATCAGTTTGGTTATCTCCCAGAACAAACCTGCGTCAGGTCAGGCTGCCGTGAATTTTTTCTAGAGTTTGTTTCAGAAGGGACCCCCAAATCACGACAAATCTTCAGTTTCGGAATGCAAATCATCGCAAATTCACAAAATCTTGGTATTTTGAGAAAGTGATTGGCAAATCATCGCCGCTTGGTGAAACGTTTCGCTAAGGCAAGCCCGAGTCCATCCAGCTCACTGTCGGGCCGACGTGACCTGCTGATTTAAATGGTTTTCACATGGGATATTCATGGATATTCACTATTTCATGAGATGATATACCCTCTGGTAAACTAACGTAACTATGGAAAATCACCATTTTTGATGGGAAAATCCACTATTAATGGCCATTTTCAATAGCTACGTTAAATTACCAGAGGGTATATATATAATTATATATATAGGGATATAATATACGTATGCATATGGAATAATATGGATGTCACGATTCCTCCAAGTAACATATACTCTGAGAATATGCGAAGCGCCCATTTTTCGGAGGAAAGTCGTCTTCCAAGTCCCACATGATGGCAGGGTCTTTGTTGGGGGATGGTAACTTCACCGTTCAACGTTACCATAGATGATGAAGCGGAAGCCTCTGACTGGACGACCACATTTCTATATGAAGTTCTTGCGGATCTTCCAATGCTGTGATTGTAGATCGACCGAACATATGAAATATATGTATACATCTATTACATATATATATATCTCATATATATATATGTATATATATATACATGTTTGTGGTCTTTTTGTTGATGTTGAAATGACTGTGGTCAGATTGGGCGGCCAGCATAAAAGTCTAGCATAAATGTCTAGCATTTTTTATGAAATCTTGGTCCCGAAACATGATGTGGGGATGCTCGTGGTACAGCCATGTCCGGACATGGGGTTTTATTAGACCTTACAACAATACATAGATTTTTGTTTCGTGAAAAAAAACATGGTGAAAAAATTACTTTACTTCGTGTGATCCCCACCATGACATTTATACATTTTCTTACTGGCAAATCTTCTGGCATTCTATCTGACATATCTTCTGACATTCTATTTGACATTCTATCTGGCATACCTTCTGGCATATGATCTGGCATATCTTCTGGCATATCTTCTGGCATTCTATCTGGCAAATCTTCTGGCATTCTATCTGGCATATCTTCTGGCACTCTATCTGACATATCTTCTGGCATTCTATCTGGCATATCTTCTGGCATATATTCTGACATATCTTCTGGCATTCTATCTGCATATCTTCTGGCATAGTCTCTGGCATATCTTCTGGCCTTCTGGCATATCTTCTGCATTCTATCTGGCATATCTTCTGGCATTCTATCTATCTTCTGGCATTCTATCTGGCATATCTTCTCTATCTGGCATTCTATCTGGCATATCTTCTGGCATATCTTCTGGCATATTATCTGGCAAATCTGCTGGCATTCTATCTGGCAAACATTCTGGCACTTTATCTGGCATATCTTCTGGCATTCTAGCTGACATTCTATCTGGCATTCTATCTGGCATACCTTCTGGCATTCTATCTGGCATACCTTCTGGCATTCTATCTGGCATATCTCATGGCATTTTATCTGGCATATCTTCTGGCATTCTCTTTGTCCCATATCTGCCTACATGAGGTCCGGCAGGGAACACTTGGCATGGATACTCGCAGATGAGGTCCGGCAGGGAACACTGGGCGTGGCTGGTCGTGGTTGAGGTCCAGCAGGGAACACTGGGCGTGGCTGGTCGTGGTTGAGGTCCGGCAGGGAACACTGGGCGTGGATGGTCGTGTTTGAGGTCCGGCAGAGAACACTGTGGATCGCGGGTCGCAGTTGGACGAGGACGACGAGGACGACGAGGACGACGAGGACGACAAGGACGACAAGGATGACAAGGAGGACGAGGAGGACGAGGAGGAGAGGAGGAGGAGGAGGACGAGGCAGGAGGAGGCAACTGACATAAAATCTAACAACCCTCACTTGGCAGGTGGGGAAATATGGGAAGATTCAACCAAATAGATCCAGTTTTAGTAGCAGCAAAACTAAGGATAGAATCCCGCAAAGTGGGCTCGGTTGGGGCTATAAATGGGTAGTTTCCCATGGTGACAACCTTCATAAGTTCGGATCCAGAAAAAAACCCTCTAACTGTGGTTACATATCCACTCAACACCCCTGTTGTGCATGGGCACTTTCCCAAGCAAAAATGCCGGGGTTTTGTTATGAGCTGCAGATACAAGTCCTACACAACTGGGTAACCTTGGTGTTGGATAGGTTACTTAGGCTAGTTTTTGCAAAATGGGACATATTTCATCCTCAGCCAAGAATCAACGGTTTGGAGGGTATCCCGGTATCCCCCCCAAAGCAAGTTTCTAAACCTTCCCCCCCTTGGGTTCCCCATTGAAAACATGAGAAAACCATCTTCGAAAACCACTGGAGCCTCTCAGAGCTTTGGCCTCAGCTGAGGTTCTAGCCTCTCTGTCAGCAACAAGAAGAGGTGCACGAATGTTTTGGAGGGACGTTTTGGCCACTCCTTTTTGGATGATACCAATGATACCAAAGAAATCCAAAGAACTGTTCTCTCTAAAATTCATTTATAGATGATATGATAAAGTCTCAAGGGATGATTTTGGGATATAGTTTCCAAACATCTTGGGATATCTATATACTTGACATGACCCAACAAGTCGTATGTCTTTTCTCAGTGAACCCCCCTGGTCCACGGCAATGATCCGTGGGATAATCCGAGTCACTCCCGTATTACAGGAGAAAACTCATCAAACACCCATGATGATCCGTAACCCCCATCATTTCTTGCTATCACCCACACATTTTTCTTACATCCCACAATATATGTGTATATATATACATACACACACATATATTATATTATATTATATTATATTATATTATATTATGTTATGTTATGTTATATTTGCCATTTTATTCTTTGGATAACTATTTTGCACACTTCAATCCTGGCCGCCCCGAAATGTTTGGATTGTTGTCAAGACATCCAGGGCTCAGCCTCGGTCAAAGTGCTAGGCGGCCAGTCCCTCTACGGTAAATATGTTGGTTTATGACTATCCGCAAATCCTTTATACATAAATATATGATATAACTATTAATAATATATAATCTAATATATATCTATTTACATATTAGTTACATTAACAGACTTGATTGATATCTATAGTTATCTCCAACGAGATATACTTTTAGCCTAGCCAAGAGAGACAGCGAGACAGCACCTGAGCTATCAGAGGGTGGGGCACCACTTGGAGGATCATCGATCGGAGCCTCATTCATAACCCTGGTGATCGGAGCCATCCCCTTTTTGTCATGGGATTCTATGGGAAAAAATGACATTTTATCGATGGTACTTCAGAAACGATGCCATGTGGGTAATTCACAATGCCATGTTTACCATCCTCCGAATTTTCATATTTTGATAGGTGGTTTTTTAACCATTCCCAAATGAGTGGTTTATGGCATTGTTTTACCATGTTTTACCCACATTACCCCCTTTTGAACACTCACCACAACCAAAACTCATGGAGGATGATCTCCTCCAAGTAGGTTTGGAACCTAACCCAAGGCCCCGAAGAACCCCGAACCACAAGCATAACTCTTCATGGAAGATTTGGAGGTTTCCTAAGTCATGGGGGTACCCCAAGTTATCATCCAGCTATTGTTTTTGGATTTTCCATGATAAACAATGAAGGGCTATTGGGGCACCTCCATTTTCAGACAAACCCACAAAAAATATTTTGTTGGTCATACAGCCCATTAATTGTTCCCATTATATTACATTATATTACCATATTATGATTATTACGGTTGGTTTGCCTTTATAGTTTACATCCATGGCTTGGGAAACCTCCAGATGTTTCTCCAGTTGTAAGTGGAAATAGAACCACAATCAAAGAGGTTATATCCCAACATGGGGATTTAAATTCCCATGGTTATACCCATAAAGGTAACCTCAACTGCACTCCCAAGCTCCGAGTTGAGGGTGCATCCCACATAGTTTATATGGAATACTCTCACTTATATATGGGATTATATGGGTTATGTATGGATTACGGGTTATGTATAGATTACAGTCCCGCTCATCCAAGTACTTCGATAACTTCAAACTCACCCTGGCAGAATATCCTCCAAGTAGGATAGCCCTAGGGCCCCCAGGGCCCCCAGGGCAAGGCCGCAGCTTCCCCAACCATCCAGTCCTTCAGTCCTCCAGTCATCGCTCCGTCAGGGCGATGCTGTCTGGGGTGGAGAAGAAGCGCTTCACGGCCTCGCCGTCGCCGGAAACCTCCAAGACCACCACCTCGTCGCCTGTGAGCTCAGCCTCGTTGAAGCGCCGCGGCTCCCTACAGGCGACGGGGGGACGTGGGGGACGTGGGGGACGTGGGGGTTGGGGAAGTGCAACCCGAAGTGGTGGGGAGAAAGGTGGAAAAACTCTGGAATAGCCATGAAATCATGAAACAAAATGGGAAAAAGGTGGATTAAAACCTGGAAAACCTGCCAAACTGTATGAACAAGTGGGTGGGAACATATTGGCGAAAAACTTGGGAAACATCACTGCAAGTTCATGCTTTGTTGAACAAGAGAGCGATAAACGGTTGGAAATGTCTCCTTTCGGTTCAGGTATTGGTTTGGGGAAGGCTCCAACGCCTTCAGTAGAGAGACATACAGTAGTGCTGGGATGTCCATGCTACCAGGCAATTCCAACGATCCACGGTCGGCCAACTATTCGCGGTGGGAAACGCATAGTTTATAACCCATCAGGTGGGGGTTGGACATCTATCGGTTCGAAGGAATCCCAGTATGGACATCATGCCATCTACATAAGCCACCAGCCGCATCCCAGTTTTCCAACCGCTACAGTATCCCTAAAAAAATCCCCATGCGTTCTCATGAAATCTTCACAATTCAGATTTGACCTGACAAAGGGTAGATATAGGTCATAGGATACTGTACCATCCCATAGGATATAGGTAGATATAGGTCATACCTGACAAATTGTCATAGGGTATACCGCTCTTTCCTCCGCATGGACAATTTCTCCATCCCTGAGGCCAGCTTCGGTACCGCCCAAGCGCGATCTGGGCTTCCTGGAAAGATTGAAAAACCCAGGTTACTATAAGCAGTCAATAAGAAAGGTGATCCTAGTGTGACCCCACGAATTTTTTCTGACGGTTTTATTCAATTTTTTGGATTCTACTGGCAGTGTATTGCACTTTTGGGCCTCTCGAAAGCTGAAGCGTAGCTGGCTCTGAAGACTGAACAACTTCCAAACTTCCAAGGTAGCTGCATGTTGACACAAAACAGCACCATGCTATAGCCTCTGGTCAACTTTTACATAACGAACTGGAACATAACCATGCTATTAATATGTTTTAATAGGTAAATCATCTATTTCGGTTAGGGCCATCTATACCATAGCTATGTTAAACTACCATGTCGGGTAAATATGTCTAATGGGTAAATCATCTAATGGGTCCAGGTGATACCATCTGGTTATTTAACATAGCCATGGAAAATCCCAAAAATAAATGGAGGTTTATAGCTGGGTAAATCATCTATTTCTATGGGCCATTTTCCATAGCTATTTTTATGGGTAAATCACCGAGTCGTCCCCCTGCACTGTGAAAATCAGGTTGATGCTGCCCTGGGAGATCATCTCTATGAGGTTGCGGGAGGCCGAAAAGAAAATCCGACATAGATATGTTACCCTCTGGTTATGTCAAAATAGCTATTGAAAATGGCCATAGAAATAGTGGATTTTTCTATTGAAAATGGTGATTTCCCATAGTTATGTGAGTTTACCAGAGGGTAATATAATTTTAACAATGATCATATTAATATGGCTATGGATCAATACCTATTATATCCTATTATATAATATCATTTTTAGTGGGATGAACATCCATAAATCCCAGCTATTTTGATGTGAACAGAAGGGGTACTATTGGTTTTGACACACTGCCATATATTGATATATCATAACGATTGATTAATATATCATATTTTTAACAATGATGATATTATAATATATCACACTATTTAATCACATATTGTTAATGATGATGATTAATATATGATCGATCATTAATATATGATATATATGTTAATATATCCATCAGCTTATTAACAATGATGATCAATGATGGTTAATGATTGTTAATGATGGTAAATGAGATGGATTATATAAATCACCATGGTTTCCATAGATGGGGGTACCCAAAAACGCTGGATGATTTATTGAAGGGAAAATCCTACTAAATAACACGGATGATAACTGCGGGTGCCCCTATGCCTTAGGACACCCCCATTTGGGCATTTTGGGATCATTGGATATGGGGGATCTCAAACAGCATCTCAAAGATTACCAGAGGCTACACATTTGGGACTTGTGTAGATCTCATACCACCGGGATTTTTCTCTGGTTTTGATCATAGAATTGGATGATGGGAAAATTGAAACCGGAAAGCCCGATCAATTTGATGGTATTTTAACCAGGGTTTCCGGTTAAGATTTTCCCAACAAAACCAATCCAAGATTTTCCCAACAAAACCAATCCAGTGATTTGAAGCTTGACCCAAAGCATCAGCCAGCGAAAAAAAAATCCAGGCCCCCCAGCCTCGGCCGCCCCGGTCAGGGTGCGAAGAACGAACCCTGCAGCGCCTTTCTGCGATCTCCAGAGACTTGGACCGTTCGTGGCATGCGGAGGGTCAAATGCATAGCAATTTTTTTGAGACGTTTATTCGTGCCAGTATTTTTGAAGGTTAGATGTCTAGTTTGATAGGCAAACGACCTTCTTGGTGTGTTAAATCCAAAATTTGTCCAGATTTTTGACTAGTTTGAGTTTGAATCATTTGATGTTAGATGCCTATATTCTGATGATCACGGTATAACTGTTAGATGTCTATATGTTATATATCAAGTTATATATTAAAATATTTCATCATGTTTCAAACACCATCAAAGATGTTTATATGTCATTATATAGATGGTTCTATATCATATGATCATTGTTATTGTTATATGATGTAGAAGGAACCATCTATATAATGACATATATATATATATATAACCTCTATAGCCTCTATATAAATCTTTCCATCATTGTCAAAGCTCCCTTTTTTTGTTTCGGAAGTTTCATCCGTGGGCTTTGCGCCAGGCCTTGATGGAGCTTCTTTGTAAGGCGCCCTGCTGCCTTCTGCGGCCCTGGGATGGTTAGATGTGACATTTTTATAGATTTTTATACCCTCTGGTTATGACTAACATAGCCATGGAAAATCACCATTTTAATAGGTAAACCCAGGTAAACCATCTATAAATGGGCCATTTTCCATGGCTATGTTAAATAACCAGAGGGTACCTTTTTTTTGTGACCTCGAAAATTGGTGCTTGAAAAGGTCACGCACAGCCTGTGAGATTGGGGGATGTTCTGCTGTTTTTATTCGGAGTTTGTGAACTGGAGCTGATCGGATCCATCTAGTTCGATGATTTACCCATTGGACATATTTACCCGACATGGTAGTTTAACATAGCTATGGAAAATGGCCCATTTATAGATGATTTACCTATTAACAATGGTGATTTTCCATGGTTATGTTAGTTTACTGGAGCGTAGACATGGTGATTTCCATACCATAGCTATGTTAGTTTACTGGAGAGTATCTGGAAATTAAGCTGAGATTGTGAAACGATTACATGTGGTTATGATGCTTATGAGATGTGGCTGAACAAATCATCAATTAACTGAGTTATAGTAAGTAATGAAGTAATACTTAGCTATCATTTAGTACACCAGCTATGATGGTTTTTTACACTGAGATCACTGAGATCTGAGTTCATTAGCTTTAAAATACTAAATAACTTAAGTAACTTTAAGTAAGAATACCCAGTATTACACTACTAAGTTACTGCCTGCCGCTCTCTGGGATGATCTTCTGGGGCGAAAAACTGGTGCCAGCTGGTGCCAGCTGTGAAGGTCTCCCACTGATTCAACATGATTCAACCATGATAAATGGGGATTTACATGGGATTTCTATGGGATTTCTATGGGATCTATATGGGATTTCTATGGGATCTATATGGGATTTCTATGTGATTTACGTGGGATTTATCTGATGTTGAGATTTGATTTAACAATCTGGGTAAAAAAAATGACCTCACGTCGTGACCGAAGCCTGGAATCACGGTTGGGATTTGGGGGGAATCATCCCCAGCCATGGCCGAACTTTTCAGGTTAGCGCAATATCAATGACCGAACCCTGCGACCTCACTGGAATGATGGTTAATATATATATATATAGATAGATAGATAGATAGATAGATACATATATGGGGTACCTATCCCAAAATAGCCGCACTTTCAGGTTAATGAGATATGATGATTTAGCCAGAGATATGTATATTTCTGGATAGTATAGCTATGTGTAGCTGACAAGAATTTCAACAACAACAGAATATAATATGATATATTACCATCAATATCATAGTTTAGCCAGCTTCGTCACTTTGGATATCTTCCCATCAATGGGGAGTTCTGATTGCTAGCTTTGATTAGCAGAGGATAACCGTTGCCGGGATGTCTATGCAACGGCACTTGATGACACCCAGAGCTTGGGCCAGGTGGCGTTTTCATACCTGGGCTGCTATGGCAACATGCAGCAGCGCAGTCACCGGGATTGCAGTTGTTGGATCCATCAGCATGGTGCAGCTCCGTCAGCAGCTGAGGTATGTCGACGTTGATGCAGAGCGTGTGGCTGTTGGTGTACATGACCGGCGTCTCAGACGGGTGTGGCACGGGTGTGCCGGATCCTGCCATGCAGCCTGCCCACAAACCATTTGGAGGCATGGTAGATCATCGAGGTAGGGATATATGATATACCATCTGGTAAAGCCACATAGCTATTGAACATGACCATAGAAATAGTTGATCTACCAAAAATAAAATGGTAATTTTCCATAGTTATGCTGGTTAGTTACCATAGTTATTAGTATTATTTAGCCATAGTTATACTTAAGCTCATAGTTATAGTTATAGATAGCAACCACAGTTATAAAAAAAACCAATTGATCAGTGATTCTCCAACTAGGGACTTGGGATTTTGAGGGTTCTCCATCCCATCTTGCCATTGCTGGAATGTATTGGACCTATTCATTACTTGGGGTCCAAAAACTTGGGTATTTCGAGGCATTTGGTAAATCTCTATATATGACTGTGGCAAAAAAGAAGCTATTTTTCTGGTATGGTGAAACTTCGTTAAAACCCTATGAAGCTCAACATTTTCTCATGGTCAACTCCCCGTTTTTTTTGCACCGGAAACGCCACGCCCTGAGGCGCTTCACGGCGGAGTCCGTTCGCGGCAGCTTGGAGCGCCGGTCCTCGCTCGAGGGCCAGGCCGGCCAGGCATCTTTCGAACTGGGAGAACCATGGTGATAACCATGGCTTGGGCTCGGGATACCCTCTGGTAAACTAACATAGCCATGGAAAATGGCCATTTATAGTGAGATTTCCCATTAAAAATGGTGACTTTCCATTGCTATGTTAGTTTACCAGAGGGTAACCATGTTTTTTAACGCCTTAAATTTGCAACTGGGGTGTTTTTTGGGGTTTACACTTACTGGTGTCATCAAGACGCGCCCTTTTATGGTGATAGTGCCATAGGTATAACCATGGCGAATTCACCATAAGTTGGGATATAAATGATATAACCCCTATAACTAGGTTTATTAATTAGGGGGGTATTCCCCAAAGAGTGATAATCTGATACTTAAATGGTCAATGGTACCCCCATTTTTTTTACAGCCGTTTGGGGTTTATGAATCCAGGGTTGACATTAACCCCTTTTTTGTTATGGCTATAGAACCACTAAAATCTGGAACTTCCGCGCTAGAGTAAGAAATGCCCTCTGGAAAATCAAACGTGGCAGGAAAAAAAATCCCCCACCGCATGGAGGTTTCCAGCTGGAAAAATCGTTGGAATCAATGGAATCAATGGTCGATTTTCCATTGCCACGTTTCATATCGTTTGATTACCAGAGGGTATATCCCACTTGGAGTAGCGACATTTCCCCAAATATAAATGCCTGGGATGCGCATCCACGTAGCTGCTGTGTATCATGATGGTTCCCAGCCATTCTCTTAGACTTTGAGTTTTTTTTGGGATCATGGTAGTTATCATGGTAGTTTATACCTGATGACTAGAAGTTGAACTTTTACTCAGGGAGCTGGGAACCAACCAGATATTTGGGGCGAACATCTATTTACCAACTATTTTAGTGTGAAAAGCAGGTATGGTTTTAAGCCATAGCCATATCCCAAAATTATGGCCACAAAAAACGAGAAACAGGATTATATCTAGGAAAGTAATGAGATTATATATATATATGTCTATATAATAGAGATCACATATTTCATGGATTATACACCTGTATCAATTGATTTTTTTAAATGAATGTCATGACTCAGATGGAAAACCATTGGAAAAATCATGAAGCAATGGACATTTTTTTGGGCTTTGCTCATCTCCCCCAGATCCATCCCCAGATTTCCCCAGATTTCAGGATGGCTATGGGGCCCTAGGCCGTGCTGCGCGGCTCTTGCCCTGGAGACCCAGTGAATTCGGATCCGGGGATCAGTTCGGATCTGCGGGATCTCTTGGCGATCGCACCCAGCGCTGTCGGACATCTGAGGTGTCCCGAAGTCTGGAAGATCAAGGCGGCTCCTGACTTTCAGGCGCAAAAAGCATCACTCAAAATCCACCCATTTTTCACGCCATGGGTTGCCATGGGAAATAGAACGAACTTTTCAATGGGAAAAAGCATGAAGAAATGGATTTTGATGGAGATTTTGATGGAGTTGATGGATGTTGATGGGAATTTTACACCAAAAATCAGTGGAAACATGGGGTTATTCAGCTTGAACTGAAGAGTTGCAGGGCATCCAGCTGGATCGCGGTCTTGGTCGACCGATTGTAGCTATCCCAAAACGACCAGTGGCGAAAAAAACCCAGGTTCAAACCTCCGTTCCCCATAAAATTGCTGAAGAACCCCAGATGTCTTGGAAAAAAAAGCCTACCCTCTGGTTATGACTAACATAGCCATGGAAAATGGTCCATTTATAATAGGTAAACCATGGTAAACCATCTATTTCTATGGGCCATCTATACCATAGCTATGTTAAACTACCAGAGGGTATGTTTTCCCATTGTGGCGCGAGCATTTTTGTCGGCATCCACGGGACCCAGGAGGTGCCTCTGGCCTGTGTGAAGCCTGTACCTCGAGAGGTGGGCATCCGGACATATGAGGACCATGGGAAAAACCATAGGAAAACCATGGGAAAACCAGGGGAACATGGTGATTTGGTCCATAAAAATGGAGTTTTTAATCTGGTTTCATGGGATTTGTAGCTGATTTATGATAGCTAAGTCGACAGTTCATTCGGTTGACGTTTGGGTATAAGTATATATATATAGTATTCATGGGGTCTATAAACCACTTATAACTGGGGGACCCCACCCTGTAAGTGGTTGATATCCCGGGTTAGTCCTCGATTCATTCATTGTCCAATTTCCATGGGTGAACTAAGGCCACTAGCCACTTGCAGAAGCGGGATGATCCTCCACTACCCAAGGTTTTCGTTCCCGAGAAAATCGGGTACCCTCCGGTAAACTAACATAACCATGGAAAATCACCATTTTTAATGGGAAAATCCACTATAAATCGCCATTTTCAATAACTATGTTAGTTTACCAGAGGGTAGTTCTACCCTGCTGGACAATCATCATTTTCGCTGTTCAAATGCAAACACTCTTGGGGTACGGTCAATTTTCGAACACACTCTACCGATTGACCACTGCGGATCACCTCCCTAAGTTTTTTTCCGGAAAGCCCCGTAGCCTGCCAAACGTTTCTCAATGAATAGTGTGGCTCTCTTTGATCACTGTTCCATGCTTTCCCACGTGGGCTTACCCTCCGGTAATTTACTTAGCTATGGAAAATGGCCGATTTATAGATGGTTTAGCTATTTCAAACATGACGATTTTCCACAGCACGCCGTTAAATTACCAGAGTATATCTCAAAACTTAGAACCCCCAATTTCATCCAAACAATTTCCACTATGATTCACGTATTTCTGAGATCATTTCTCCATTGGCCATTGGCTGCAGACACGGAGCCCTGAGCCACCCCCTGCGAGGTCTTACGTCAGACCACCAAACAGGCCTCGGAGGCACCCCAGGCAGAGGGGCGAGGCGGAGCCCATCCAGGATCACATGGGGATATAACCAAAATTACATCGATCTTAAGTTTTAGTAAATCATGGGTTCCTATGGTATTTCATGAGATTAAAATGGGATGATAATGGGATGATAGTGGGGGATTTAGGATTTAAGGTGATTTAAGTATCTAACATGTGGATATCATCACTATATAACGATCAGTATATAATTGATGATAGATTTACATACAATGTTTTTCCCCAACCGCCTAAGCGAATGGGGTCTTCAGCCCAGAATAGCTCCGGTGTGCACTGGTGCAGGCGCCGGGTCAGGTTCAACGACGTTCCGGAGAAGGCTCCGAAGGTTCCGAAAAAGGTCTGGGAGGCTTTGGTGCAGAGCCAGGTCAGGTTCAACAGGGTTCCGGAGAAGGTTCCGGAGAAGGTTCCGGAGAAAGTCTGGGAGGCTTTGTGCAGAGCCAGGTCAGGTTCAACAGGGTTACCGAGAAGGTTCTGGAGAAGGTTCCGGGAAGCCTTGGTGCAAAGCCAAGTCAGGTTCAACAGGGTTCCGGAGAAGGTTCCGGAGAAGGTTCCGGAGAGCCTTGGTGCAGAGCCAGGTCAGGTTCAACAGGGTTCCGGAGAAGGTTCCTCAACAGGGTTCCGAAGAAGGTTCCGGGAGGCTTTGGTGCAGAGCCAGGTCAAGTTCAACAGGGTTCCGGAGAAGGTTCCGGAGAAGGTCTGGGAGGCTTTGGTGCAGAGCCAGGTCAGGTTCCCGAGAAGGTTCCGGAAGTTCCGGAGAAAAGTCCCAGGTGGTTTTGGTGCAGAGCCAGGTCAGGTTCAACAGGGTTCCGGAGAAGGTTCTGGAGAAGGTTCCGGAGAAGGTTCCGGGAAGCCTTGGTGCAAAGCCAAGTCAGGTTCAACAAGGTTCCAGAGAAGGTTCCGGAGAAGGTCGGGGAGGCTTTGGTGCAGAGCCAGGTCAGGTTCAACAGGGTTCTGGAGAAGGTTCCGGAGAAGGTTCAGGAAGCCTTGGTGCAAAGCCAAGTCAGGTTCAACAAGGTTCCGGAGAAGGTTCCGGAGAAGGTCGGGGAGGCTTTGGTGCAGAGCCAGTCAGGTTCAACAGGGTTCCGGAGAAGGTTCCGGGAGGCTTTGGTGCAGAGCCAGGTCAGGTTCAACAGGGTTCTGGAGAAGGTTCCGGAGAAGGTCTGGGAGGCTTTGGTGCAGAGCGAGGTCAGGTTCAACAGGGTTCCGGAGAAGGTTCCGGAGAAGGCTCCAGGAAGCCTTGGTGCAAAGCCAAGTCAAGTTCAACAGGGTTCTGGAGAAGGTTCCAGCGCTTGGCTTCGCAGCACGCTTCAGAAAGATTTGTAAAAATAAAACGTTGCGGCTGTTGGGGATACCACCGAAGCTTATTTTTTTCTCCCCCAATAAACATGAACTAAGCAATGATAATCTTTCAGTTTCCGACCTATTTGGGATGATGAAAACTTCAAATCTGTGTCAAGGTTTCTTCACGGATTCTCCCATTGGAATATGCCTGCATATCATGTTTCACATCTTTCCTTGCAACGTTGTAGCATGGACAGAGCAATGACAGAGCAATGTATATGTATATATATACATATACATACATAGTCTATAGTTATACACATGTATATTATATATACATGCAATGATATGCAATGATATGCAATTATAAATACGATATTTCCTCGTATGCAATGATTGTATGACAAAAAAATTTAACGACAATAGTCAGTACATGTAAGTACTGTTAATTAAACACCACATCATCAACAGGTATCAACAACAACTACCCTCTGGTAAACAAGCATAGCTATTGAACATGGCCATAGAAATAGTGGATTTACCCATAAAACATGGTGATTTTCCAGTTCGTTATGTTAGTTCGTTTACCATTTCGGGTCATATTCCAAGCAATTGTCAGGTGTTTTCAGTATGACATCCAGCTGAGTTTCTCCATGACATCCGCTTTTTCAGCGTCAGGAAGGAGTTCCATATGTGATGGAGAAACGCTGCCAAATTTGCCGGGAGGCCGAGGCCCAACATGATCCCAACGGCCCAATCCCATGCTGGAGATGCATCGAAAAACATGTCGCTGGTGAAACATAAGTTGGAAATGTTCACCCACTGTATGTGTGTGTATATATATATATATGGTACCCCCCCCAAAACCTACCTTTTTTACATTTGTATTGGTATTTACAGTATTTTATGTAGATTATTAGCTGGAGTGAATAAAGCTGAACAAAACTAAAAACTAGAGCTGAAAACACTGAAGCAAAACTATAAATTTTAGGAACTATGTCTAGCCCCAAGTCTAAACTAAAAAAACAGAAAAAAAATGAAAAACTGAAAAAACTATAATTTTTGGGAACTATGTCTAGCTCCAGGTCTAAACTGAAAAAAACTGAAAAAACTGAAAAAACTAAAAAAACTGAAAAAACTGAAAAAACTATATTTTTGGGTAACTATATCTAGATCTGGGTCCCAGCCATAGTTCTAGAAAAATATAGTTTTTTCAGTTTTTTCAGTTTTTTCGGTTTACGGATGGAATCCGCAGTATTTCCGCGAAGAGGCCCCTTTTATTTATCTCCTGCTGGTTCCCGTTGCCATTGCCTCATGGCTGCGGCTCCTCGTCCGGACAGTCCGGAGATCCAGTATGAGGATGATTTTTGGGAGTGCCTTGGACGCGAACCATCCTGTTAATACTTTCCAATGGCATTTGTAATTCTGGTCTGCTTCATCCCTTTCAACGGCTGTCACTGCAATCCTGCCTTTCAAATCTGCCCATTGCTTCAACATTGTTCCCATCCAAGGTCTACCTCTCACCGACCCAAGCTGGTGGGAGTCACGTCCTTATGAGGAACGGCCGCGCGACCGATCCCGGAGTCCAAGAAGGGCCCCACGAACTCCGCCTGGCCCGCCTCCTCCCACTCCTCCAACGGAGATTTCGCCACACGTCGGCACAAGGGTGCCGATGACACCGCCCGAGCTGCTTGGACCGGCGCCGTGCACACCAGAAAGCCAGTAAGTCATGGAAGTGGTTTTGGAAAAGAATGTGGGCACAAAAAGTAATTGTTTTGCTGCAGATAGGTATTCCTTTAGCTGCTTTCTGGTGTGGGCGGTGAGCTATGATGCTGGCATACGCATTACGTGTTTATTAAGACCAGATCAGAGCACTGCAGCGAGAGAAAAATAATGCTGAGTTGCTTGTGCCTTGTCTACGTGCACAGTTGCCTTGTCTACATGCACAGCCAAGAATGCGCACTGAAGTCACTATATATCACACCCGTAATTGCTTCAGAAATAATCATATGAAAACCCTTGCTGTGAAAAGCCTAGACCCTCCTCACTTCAAGTAACATGTGTTTGTGCTGTCTTGTCACAATCCTACCAATGACTTTGTCTGCCAATTGAACTCTGTACAAAAAACTTGCATCTGCTTCATTTCATGGCTACCAATCTTCTAAACCAACGCAACTGTCTGTGTCAACCTGCATCGTCGTTCTTCACACAGATGCAGCCAAGTCGTACAAACCCAAAATGAGCGGGGTTTTGCACGACCATGTCCGACATTGCAAAAAGCGTGTCAAAGTCAAGGGCAAGTGGATGTGGAAATTGCCCACCTATGTCCGCGTGACCACACACAAGGATCCCAAGACTGGTCGCAAATTTAAGACTAAAGGTGGCACGCAAATTATAGACCGTGCCTGGCGCTTCCTCAAAGACAGGATTCATTTAAACCAACATTGCCGAGTTGGAACGCCTCTGCTGCGTGCCAAAATTCGCAGTGCCCAATACGAGTATTGGCACAGGAATGCGGATCTATGGCTTCAAACCGGCATTGCGTGTACATGGCATGTCGCCAAAAGCTTGGCTTAATCTCAGTGCTCCATCCATCGCAGAAAAAAAATTCCTTCTGTCAATGCTTCATTGTTTGCTGCAACTCGCATTATCATGCAAATGTCATGAAAATACAAAATTTCACCACCACAAACAGTCTGAAACATTCTTGTCTGCAATTCCTTTACTTACCACAAGTCGATAAATATGAACGAAATTGTTTGCATGTCTCTGCCTCTGACACACAATCAAAATACAGTATTTCCTCTTGTCTGCAATTCTTCTGCCTATCTGCATGTCCCTGCCTCTGACACACAAGCACCAACATGAAAACCAACATGAAAGTCATAAAAAAGTAGGTTTGGGGGGGGGCTAGCATATATATATATACAAGTATATATATATACATATATATATATATATTGCACTAAACATACATGCATTGCATTGCATTACATTCCATTGCATTGCATTACATTATTCTTACAATACATTACAGTAAATAACAGCACATTACATTACATCACGTCACATTGCGTTGCATTGCATTGTATTGCATTACATATACATATATATATATACAGATGGAATATTCCCAGTTCTATATAGCTTGCTAGTACTACTCACCAGGTACAGTCAGGCAAAGTGGTCATTGAACGAGATGTTCATGTGGTAAAGCAATAGGACATCCCAATCTTTCAGCTTTACAATTTCTGCAAATCTTATGTGAATAGGCATGGATCAGAAACCAAGAAAAACATCAAACCTTTGTAACTGTGATAATTAATTTGGCAGGATTTTATCTCAGGTCTCTTCAGCCTGTGGGGCGATGCAATGTCGAAGTCGTTTTGCGGGGTTTCCATAAATATGGCTACCCCAAACCATTGGTTTTCCCAGTGAGAACTAATACCTAGGATGATTTTGGGGCTGTGCAGATTCAGTGGGGCCCTCTCACTCTTGACTGGAGTTTTGGGTTAGCATTGGTGATACCAAGCAACTGGGAATTTTTCGGGCCAATTTGAAAAGGCGCAGATTGATTCGAATTGATGAATATCAAACTATATCAATATAAGAAGTAATGTGGTTAGAAGAATAAGAAACCATCCCCAAGTTTACCATAAATGGATGGGTAATGTGGTTAGAACAATAAAAAACCATCCCCAAGTTTACCATAAATGGATGGGTAATGTGGTTAGAACAATAAAAAACCATCCCCAAGTTTACCATGAATGGATGGGTAATGTGGTTAGAACAATAAAAAACCATCCCCAAGTTTACCACAAGGTGGTGCCCCAGTTCGTTAGCTAAGTTGGTGCAAATAACTCTCATTTAACTATGGTTTATGGCAGATATAACAAACTAGCTATTGGGGTTTATAAATCAACAAACATCACTGGGGGGCACCATCCTGCATGAATAGGTGATATAAATCATATTAGCCTTTGGAAGATTCGGAAGTTCACGAAGTTGACGGTAAGCTCCGAGGTAAGTCTGAAGTGGAAGTTGCAAGCTGGGGCAATATTAGGCCCCGGGCTAGCCATGGTATGATGGGATTTGAAGCAATTCGAACCAAGCAAAATATGGTGTTTTTCCATGTTTTTCCACACTTGGCCTTTCAACTTTCAAGAAATAGAAATTGGTTCTTTACCAACTGATTTTGAAAGTTGAAAGTCACCATATTTTTCAAAGTCGACCAAGGGTACTTTCAAAATATGTTGGGATGCCACCCGGAATTCTTTACCGATTTTTTCATGTCACAAAGATTCACACGGAAAAATGGGTATGACAGGCTGTCAACAGTGAAGTCTCAAAGCATCCAATTTGGGTCACCGAAATCGGTGAATTTCGAGGGCCTGGGGTGCGGGAGCTCTTCTGCTCCTTTCCCAACACAATAAAACTATTGGATTTTGATTTGGCATAGTTTTGGATAATGCCAACATAATCATTTTTGAATTTTATTTTGGACAATCAACATGATTCTTGTGAACGGCTTTTTTCCATGCCTGAGGCATATACGGGCCCCAAGACAAGTTTCCCTAGAAAAAAAATCTTCCCCCAAAAAAATAGGACAGGTTCAATCTATCAGCATTTTAGAACATGATTTTACCAACTTGTATATTCGTGGGGGTTACTATCGCTATATCATTTATCGTAGTTCTTGACCCTATCATAGTTATCCTATGACATTGGAATTGCTATATAATTCCACTGTAATCCCATTGTATCATTCTGAATGATGGTTAAACTAAAGTTAACTAAAGCTAAAGTTAACTAAAGTTAAGTAACTATATGTATATAATTATATATATATAATTATATGTATAGTATATATATGTAGTACATATAGTATATATATAATATCATCTTCTGCATTTTTTCGTTGCGAAAGTGCTGCCCGAAACGGCTGTTCTTCGAGCTTCGCGGAACCGAAACGCCTTCGTGCCAGGTGCTTCGGGTGTTCCAGGGTGGACTCCTTGGCCTTCAGGTGGGGGGTCCCAGCAGCTGGCTTCTGTTGAAACCAACAAAGAATTATTGAAAATGGCCCATTAATAGTGGATTTTCCCATAAAAAATGGTGATTTTCCATAGTTATGTAAACGTTTACCAGAGGGTATATATATATGAGAAATGAGAAATCTATATATATATATAGTTTATGTGTATATCTATATAATAATGCTATAGATAGTTTATGAGAAATGAGTCAACATATATATTATCATATAATGATATACAATATGATGAGTTTATATATATATGGGTTTCTGTTGATACAAAAATGCTGGTGGAACCAACAAAATATAGCATGTGATGGGACACAAATAATAGAAAATCATAGGATGATTATGATAATCATATAAATAATATAATATTTAGATATGATAGCCAAGAAGAAAATGAAAACTTTTATGAGACGTAAGCCCACCCCCACATATATATATATATATGTAAACAATCACATTACGATGGAATGGTGGTTGAATCAACACATATACGAAAATGCTGGTTTAACCAATCAATTTATATGATATAATGGGCTACAAAGGGGTGTCATGGGATATGTATATATATATACAACCAACTCAAAACTATTGTATCTGGATAACTTCTAGTCTACTACGTTTGGTGGTGTCCCAGGAAACGTGAACAAATGGTAAACATAACTAGAGTAACTGTTGCATTTACTGTGTTTATAACTATACATGGGTTTCTATAATATATAAGCCACCGTATAACGCGGGGGCCCACATTGTAGGGTCCCAGTACAGAAATGCACCATACCATTAATCCATCTTGAGATAAACAGGGATGTAGAAACAATTGCAGGTTTCACCCTGGTTTCTAACCCCAAATATTGTACGGGGCTTCAAGTGTCCATTTTTTTCCTTTCAGCGAAATCCCATGAAATCAAGTTCAACCCCAGTAGCCCCCATGAAGGCCGATCATTAGCAATTCTGGTTTCGTGTTTTTTCCAACCATTCGAAATAGAGTTCCTTTCTAGCCATGGTGGCCACGGACATTCCGGAAGGCATCAGCTCCGCTGGAAATGGAAACCCGCACGAAATGGAGGTTTTAATGGAATAAACCCTCCCCATTTCTGATGGTAAACATACCACCCATAATTATTTGTGGATTTGGGAATGGTTTGCATGATTGTTGAAAACCACATAAATGGACGATTTTCCAGCAAGCCATGGAGCTGTTTCCCAGCAACTCAGGAGCACTGTGAAGTCGGGAACTGTCAATTATCAGGTCATATTTTGATCGATTTCCCACTTTGTTTGGCCCAAATGTTGGCCCAATTTCCCAATGTCAAGGTCTTTCTTCAAGAGAATTTTTTGCAGGATCAAATGACCCAGTGCAACGGAGAAATCTTCGAATTGGCCGTTTTCTTGGCTAGCCTCCGGTAAGCAAACATGGCAATAGGTAATCCACCATTTATAGATGAGCAGCGTTCAAAAATGCCTTAAACCGATTTATCAGGGAGTTAACCTATGGTGTCATCATGTTTAACCAGTTGATCACGTGTTTTTGAACACTGCTCAGACGATTTTCCCAGCGACATAGATTTTTTGTATCTCCTGGTCAGATGGTCAAACCCTCACGTGTCACAACGTCGTTGTGTTGCTGAAACGACCTAAATCTGTTGGTTTCAAATTCCGATTCTTGTTGTCGGTTAAAAATGGGTTTTAGTTGAGTTGCTTCAATGCCATTTTGTCAATTTAAGATTTCCATTGGTGACGATCCTACAAAAACATCCCAAATTTACTAAAGCTCACTGGCATTCACACAAGGTGGTGGTTTCTACCGCGTGATGTGAATGTTGGTTTATACCACCCAGAATAGTAGTTCGATATACTATAAACCCACGTGATTTACGAACTTAGCTAACGCACTGGGGCACCACCTTATCCTTCGATACAACCCACATAAACCGAACACTTCCCAATAGAAAATCATTTATTTTTCAAATTGAATAATCCCCATTGTCCCATTCATACTCTATTTTCCTCCGTTAATTGTATAGTATATAATCCCAATACATTTGGCCCATTCATAGGTGTTTTTTTCATGGAGTTTCCCATGTTTTCCAGATGTTTTCCCCATGAAAATCCACAATGTTTTCCCCAAGGCGACATCCCTTGGTCTCAGTGCTGCGAAAGAGTGGCGAGAAGCCAGTCGCGCGGCGTGAACCTTTGGAGGAACCCATTGATGGGGGTTTCCATCAATGGGGGATCCCCCAAAAGCTGGATGGTCATGGAAAATCCGATCAAAATGGATGATTTAGGGGTAATCAAATACGGTATGAGCCATAAATGACACCTTTGTTGATGCTTTCTTTTTTTCTTGGGGTTGTACTACCTGGTTGAATGGGGATTGTTAGAACACATAGAAGGAGCAGTTGTTAGCCAACCAGTACAATGGGATGGGATAGGGGTATTTGTCTATACAACCCAGAACAGTCGATCAAATGTTTTACAAAAGTGGGGTTCTTTAAGCATTAAAGATAGAGTTTTTCCAAGGCAAAGATTGGGCTTCCAGCGCTTGGATTTAAGCAGCTGACCAAATTTCTTGGCTTCTTTACGAAAGGGGAGTTGACCATGGAAGGTAGATGGCCTAAGGCGGAAGAACACACGTATGTTTACCGGCTTTGTCCAGACATTTTTGCAAAGATGGCAATGTTGGATGGGACGAATTGATGATGAAGCACTGGATTGAAAAATGCACTCCCTTTTCGAACAATTCCAATCTTTTGCCATTTGGACACGGGGAATATGAAACCCAGCCAAACATTGATGGCTTGGTCTAAGTCTACGGTTGGCCTAGATTGGCCATGGTTGCTGGATTTTTTTTAAGCATTAGAAATGGAGCTTCTGGGATCATCCCGGCATTGAGATCACAGCAAAGCTGAAGAAAAAACCCAAGGTTTCAGCGATTTGCGAATGATTCAAAAGTCACAACCAGAATGGATGCGGTTGCTGAATTGCTTGGCTGATGTCCAATGGGACGCAGTGGATTCCCATTGGATGTTGATGTTGCTAGTCCAATTCCGCTCCAAGAAATTGAGATCTAATTGGTTTCTTTTTCAATCTATATAGTCACATATATTTATCCATATTTTTCATCAAACATTTCAATATATTTCCAATGTGTTTCCCATATTTTTTCCATATGTGTCCCATATTTCACATGCTTTTCCCATATTTTTCCATATGTTTTCTCCCTTAAATTTTCCACCAAAGTTTCCAGCCTTTGCTGTCATTTTTGGTCCCTCCGAGGTGGCGCTGGCCGGAAAGGTCCCCCGAGTCTCTTGGATTTACCAATCAATGGATTGGTTTTGTTGGGAAAATCTGAAAACCGGAAACCATATGGTTAAAATCCCATCAAAGACAAAGATCGGGGTTTCCGGTTTCAATTTTCCCATCATCGCCGGGTAGCGCTGATGAACCAAGTGGACCAACCACTCTAATCGTGACTGCCGGGGCTGAGTTTTGGGTTGTCTATTCTTTGGGCCAAAGCTGGGAGACCTGGGAGGGGTTTTGGTCCAACAGCAAGGAGTCCATAAAACTTAGCTGGTTGGTTCTTTGGAACATTTTCTATTTTTCCATATTTTGGGAATAATCATCCGATAATCATCCCAACTGACGAACTCATATTTTTCAGAGGGGTGGCTCAACCACCAACCAGTTAGGCTGGATGAACGTCACTGGGTTCATCTGATCTGTTGAGATGAGAGACAACCAGGGCCCCTTGTCAATGTCCAGCTGAACCCTATGAAATGATGTGTTTTTATGCCAACTTGCGCGAGCCTACCTCCCTCCGTCCCTCCCTCCCTCTCTCTCTCTCTATTTTTGAAACGGTTGATCCGGGATTTGACACAAGACTCATTGAAAAGAATCTGGCGCATAAGGCACTACCTGCCCCATTAGACACGACCTGCAGCACCCTTTTTCACATTTTTTTCCTGGGACGGAAAATCCTAAAAAAACTGGCAGATGTGCGTATTGGATCGGCGAGGTCCGCAATACGTCCTTGTCGCCCGTGCGGTTTCAGGCAGTTCTGGGGTATTCCTGGGGTTGGTTCCTGGCGTTTCATGACCAAGGCCGACTGCATCCTCCAAACTTACCCACTATTGCTAGGAACAATCTGTATATACAGAGCAAACCCCAAATAGCAAAAAACATGGACACGTGGAAATTGCAAGGAACATATCATCTGTGACATCCTGGAAAAGTGGCCCTGGGTTTGTCTGAAGATAGGGTACCCCATTTCATCGCATGGTTGGTCATCATTTCCATCAAAAAAAGTGACACTTTGAGCGTCAATCCCCCATTTTCAGACAACTCCATCCATCATATTCCAATATTCCATTAAAGATTCCCATTGCGGTTGGTTAAACATCCCATGAGTTTGTTGTTTAATTAATCCGTGTAACTCACCATGTTAGATGGTGAAATTCAAATATTTTCAGACAAGCCCATATGTATATCACGAAGAACGTACATATTTCCAAAACTTCTCAGATAATGCTTGAACTGTCAACATCTCGGATACATCACAGGTTTTTCAAGCGCTCCTGCAGGGCCCGCATGGACATGGCGAGTTTCTCAGATGTAAACCACCTACTTGGAGTATCGTCCCACGACGAGGTCTAAGGGGGGGGTTCGTGTTTCTTGGTTTAGTGAAATATACTATTTATACATGAGATACTTGACGAATAAAGGGAACTTACTCACCAGGGTTACCACTTTCTAAGTTGGATGATCCTCCAAGTAATCTATCCGATTCTCTACCCTTTGATAGTGATGTGGGATTGTCTGAAAAATATCACCATCATTATCCCATTTTGATCCCAATATTCTCCCACTACATGAGTATTATTACTATCAGGGATAAGATTCCCTACTGGGACTCATCATCCTTATCATCAGTTTTCCCCATAATTTTTTTTCCGTCCCTACTATTCTCCCGTTTATCCCACTGCAAGGTGGTGCCCCATAGTTAGCTAAGTTGGTTTATAACTCTCATAACTATGGTTTATGGCAGATATAGCTCTAGTTAATGGGGTTGGGGGGCACCATCCCACTGTATTATCCCTATTATTCCCATGTTCTCCCAACGACTTCCAGGGATTTCCCCCGATCCTGGATCATCCCAGCAACACTGGCGCCATGGCGCCAGGACAACGACACCCTGCGGCCTGACACGGACGGGGTGAGTGGCGTGGCGCTTTTTGAAGCTGTGCTGAAGGTAGGTGTTGAAGATGTTGGACTTTAATCATTGAACGTTTACTAGGATTTAATAGGATTTACTGGGATTTAGTGATTCAATGGGATTCAAAAAGTAAAGTTGATGGGGGTTTAGAACCAACCATAATGGGTATATTTAATGGGATACATCATCATACACACCTCCAAAACGGCACTTTAGGGAAACATGACATGAAATTTGGGATTTGTGAAACCCAAGTACTAAAGCTAATGATCAAAGGCACAGCTGCTTCTCTGCTTCTCCCTCCCGGCCATCACAGGTATCACATAGAGGCGACATGAATAAGCATTAAAAAAAACGATTTCAATGTAGCACTGTATCATATATATATATATTATATACAGTATATAACATACACGCATTGGCAGTGGTGTCTATATGCATATATTGATCCACATATCAATGTGTCTCTACCCCCCTCTCTCTCTCTCTCTCTCCCCCCTCCCTGTCTATACGTTCTTTCTACATGATGCATCGGTTTGTTTGAACATTAGCTATTTTCCAAATTACATTGTTGACAATCGTTTTCCCCAGTAATCAATTGGGGTTATCCCAAGCTATTACAGATACCCGCTAGCGAAACGGATGATGTCACATCTTAATTTTCAGTCATTTGGGGTGTGTTGGGAGCATCCCTGTAAATCATAAGGTTTATACTTATACAATTCAATATCTTATACTTGATTTACCATATATATATAGTATATATATATATACTATATACACATAAATGGGATGTATAACTCTTCAGGGATGTATAATTCTATGTGTATATATATTTATATGTACGTACGGTATATTTTACCATATTGAAGTTATACATCCCATGTATCGTATATATCCCAATTACCTTGATCTATCAGTCTACCTCCAGATTGCCTGAGGGTTTCCCATGAAATTGCCATAAAATGACCATATGCAAACTATCATGACATTACCATACATGGAAAATCCAATGAATATATATATATACATATCTGTAATATCCCCTTTCATCCCATCATTATCCCCAATGATTATCCCATGAATATCTCATGATTTCATGGTTATCCCAGTTATCCCGTGAAATTACGGATGTTTGTAGCAACTTCACCAAGCAGGAGCTCCCGGGCGACGAGGACTTTGAGGTCGCCGGCCTGTCCCGGGGCTCCTCCCTGCGCGATGGCTCCTTCGCCCCCTCCTCGCAGTAACTCGGTGATGGGTGGAGGTCGGGTGAGGCAGAAGGTGGTCATGGAAACATACAATGTGGGGGCCCCCAGTTATAAGTTGGTTTATAGGCACCAGTAAATTTAGTTATAAATGCCATAAACCATAGTTATTGGAGTTTGATCAGTTATAATGTCAACCCCGGATTTTGCTAAACCATGGTTTATTAATTAGGGGGGTATTTTTTCAATAGTGATTATTTGATACTTAAATGGTACCTTCCCAATTAAATAGCCTATGGGTTTATTAATGGGTTGACATTAGATGTCCTTTTCCCATTGGTTGGTTGAGTAATAGAGGGGTTTGAAGAAACCCCTTTAACAACAGGGAAATGATGATGGTATACCAGCTCCCGGCCCCTCTATTTTTACCAAAAGGACATTATGGATTGGGATATCAATATCAAGCTTCAACATGGTGATTTTCATGGGCACTATGGGATTTAACCTGATTTAAAGCTCCAAAAGTTAGGTATTGTCCCCCATTTACGGTTGATTTTCCCAGCTAGAAACCTCCATTTGGAGAATATTTCCCAGCCAGCCATGTTTGATTACCCGAGGCCTATATATGGATATACGTGTTAGATATGTTAAAGTTTCCAACTTTTTTTATCTATTGGGGGTGTTGCGACAAAATGGGAAAATGAGATTAGCTAGGTGAGGCCAAAACGTGTACGATAGCAAAGTTGATGCACAACACTGAATTAACCTTTTCTGGTTGGTGGTTTCAAACATAAATTTTATTTTCCATAATATATGGGATAATCCTTCCCATTGACTTTCATATTTTTCAAGATGGTTAAAACCACCAACCAGTTATGGTTGAATGTTCTGAGGCTTTCTCAGTCGGTGATTTTTCTTTTATAGTACGGAGGAAGGGATTCATTGACGAATGTGTAATGGACATTGGTGTACTGGTTGGTTTCATGAAGATTGGATTATTCTTATATATATATACACTACATATATATGGATAAATCTTATGGGTAAATACATTATGGGTATATATTACATGTATATATATATATGGATATATTACGTTATATATGGATATGTTACATATATATGAGTAAATTTTAACGACCGAACCCTGTTCTCCCGAGCCCTGGAATCATGGATAGGTTTGGGGGAATCATCCCCTTTTATGGCCCAAGAATTCAGGTTAGTGAAATATTATTTGGTTTACCCAGATATATACACATAATTGTGTATATATATATATGTAGGGCTTCAACCACTGAACATGGGGGTTTGATTGCTAATACCACGTCGTTTTCGTTGGGATTTTGCGAGTATTTTCTTAGCCAGTTGTAGGACTAGCTGTCAATATCCTATGGGGACTTTCGAGTTCGCAAACTGTCACATGACCAGGCCGGGTAATTCAACATACCCGGCCTGGTAAACTAACATCATCATGGAAAAAAACACCATTTTTCATGGGAAAGTTCACTATTTCTATGGTGATTTTCCATAGTTATTTTGACATAACCAGAGGGTAGATATGGAACAAGTATGGTTTCCCAAGGAAGACGATCTAGAAATCATCCCAGCAACCCCCAGCAACCCATCCATTCCCTACGTTTAGCACCAGTAAGATTAACTGTTGGGTAGCATCAACTGTGTGATGTTTCAACAGCTGTAAGCGCGGCATCACCATACTTCAGCCTACTGAAATGGTAGTTGCTGGTAATTTTAGCCCTGCATTAGGATATCGTAGAATAGGATTGAGTGCAACTGTTAGGGGCTCACTCTTGCAGGAAGACCGGACGCGGTTTTAGGATGTTAGAGTCAGGATTCTTACAACTTTACATTTGTAAATGAGATAAACCCGAAGGGCTCACGCCTTAGCAAACTGATCCCAAAATGAGGAAGAAGCCATCACCAGATGCTTTACATATCTTTATATGAACTTGCTCCACATTGTGTTCGACCTTCGAAAAAGTGTTCTAAGGAGGTCCTCCCAACTCGATGACGACCAACCAATCTGTTGAGTCCTTGATGCCCCTTACCCTTGGGATCAAATAGGTTTCAATTTGTAGATTTCCAGGACAATATCCCAAGGTCCCTTCCGTTCTGGTATATCTTGGTTGGGTAGGTTAATGGCTTGATCTTTAGTTGTTTTTGCTTGGAACATGTTGGAACCATTTTACAACGTCAGGCATGATTCTTGTTTGCTGGTTGATGTGTTGAAGGTCTGTCTTTTTCAGACCAGCCAGGCCATAATAGCCCACTATCGCAATACTATCTCACCATTATCTCAAGATTATCTCAGCATTGTATTCCTATTTTCATTGGGTGGGACATAAAATAAAATAAACATTTCTAAACTCGCATTTTGATAGATTAAACATGTATTATTCCCGTTACCATAAAAACATCCCCTTGGACAAAACAGCACCGCCTCATTGGCGAAACAACCAGGTCTTGATGATGAAGTTCAGCCGGTGCAATGTGAGTCCACGGTTGACAGTCCCCATTAAGAAAAACATGTGCTTTGAGCAAAGATATGCCCAGAAAATCAGAAACATATAAATGGCTTATTGACTGATTCCAATCAGTCATCGTGATTTCGAGAAGTCGCACAGCCCCAAGACGGGCCTTTATTGTTTGCCCTTCCATTTGCGCCATGCCCTGTGTCAAATGCCATCACTGGGCAGACTGCCAATGGAAGGGTTGGAAAAGTCCTGGAGAGTGTCGAGGGCGGAAACCGCACCTCTGATCATCGGCTTCGTGCGTGGGAAAGCCGCCTGCGTGCAGCGGTAGCCATGCCGCTTGGATCTTGTTGGCCTACTTCGTTTGGATGAATATGGGTATGGGTCAAGTCATTGGGTACAAAGATTGGATGGTTAATCCCAAAATAAATCCCAAGAGTGACCATCGCATGTGTTTCCCCTTGGTTTACACATGTTTAAACCATTGACACGTAGCCATATCCCAGAATTATCAAGGTATCAAGTCCATCGCCCGCCCCCGAGTGTTGTATCTTGGGCCCAAGACATGAAGTGCAGATGGTTCAGAATGTAATGGATTGTCCAGAAATGAGGTATACCGGGTATACCAAAAAAAAGAACACGTATACCATGGGTGTAGCCCATATGAAGTGGCAATTTTGATGGTTGCGCTCTGGTAATCATCCGTATTTATAGAAGTTTCCCATTGAAACTTTCCGGTTTTAGGGGTTTTCCAGCTAGCCACGTTTGATGACCGGTGGGTAAACTCAATTGGAAAACCCAATGTAAACCATTCAGTGCGAAGCCGAGAAGCCGCTTCGGTCCCACCATGTCTACATGGGATGCCCCACCGGTTCCAGGATTTCCCCAACGAACAAAACGTCTCAATTTTTCAGGGATTTCCCCCCCATCTCACAAGTTGTCGAAGCCGGTTTTTTTCCCCCATGATATCCGAAACTGGTCATTTTTGGGGTACCCCCCTTCTTGTTTCTTAAACCCCTCATAAAATTCATAAGTATTTCCCATAGTAGTTGGTGCCTAGTTGGTCAACCAACTTCTCCCAAAGTCCCTAAGAAAATGGAGAGCATCACCATTTTCAGCAGAAGTGGGTGATAGCCATCCTTTTCCCCTTTTCCCAGACCTTTCCATATTCCAAAAAACGGCCACTTCCCAGGGTTTTCCCTCTTCAAATAGCCATTTCGCCATGGGGTCATGACGGACGTGGCAGAGATCGTGGCAGCTGTAGGGGACCTGGAAACTCAGGGGACTGGGTCCGGTGGTTTCGTATACGGCCAGTTGACTGGGCTAGTTGTAATTACCAGACGTCCTCGTTCTGAAACTCAGTGAGTTTGTTGGATGATTGATGATTCTTTCTGATTGTTGGATTGGGTATGGATCAATACCTATGAAAATACAATTTTTAGGGGGTTATTCACATCCATTTTAACCCAGCTATTTTGGGGTTCACTAGGGGTACCAGGGTTTTGACCCATCCCCGGATGGAAAAAAAACTGAAAAAAATCCAGCCCTTTCTGAAGGGTGCCGTGTAGCGGTTGCCGTGTAGCGAGGTTCGCAGCGATGTGCGTGCGAAGTTGCTGGACCTACTGGATGAGGTCAGCGGCCTCATGGGGAATCCATGGGGACCCTGGGGATTTCATGGACCAAATTCCTATTGGTTGATGACATTACCCTCTAGTAAACTAACATAGCTATTGAAAATGACCATTTATAGTGAATTCTCCCATTAATAATGGTGATTTTCCTTGGTCATGCTAGTTTACCAGAGGGCATAATCATTATAATTGATCAAATGCACCCACAACTTGCTGGCGATTTTTTGTCCTAAACTTACCAAGTTTCGCCGCCAATTTTTTTTTGGGGTTGATAAGTTTGAGACCAATCTGGGGTTGTAATTAGAAGCTGCTGCAATGCTTGGTGATTAACCACGGATTTTGAACTTATTATCAGATGCAGATATTGAGTCAGATGAGGATACCAGGTGCCCGTGCCGGGCACGCGCCGGGGCGGAAGTTTCGAAAATAGGACATGACGGAACCAGTTTGCTTATAGGAATTGTTTATGAGCTGGAAAGAGGTGAATTGAAATTAATGCAATGAAGAAAATGGATGAATGATTGAATTGAATTGAATTGCGTTGAGTTGAGTTGACTTGAATTGCATGAATGAGTGAATGAATGAACGGAAGGATTTGAAATGACATGAAATGAAAGGGATTGGAATACTCTAGTGGCCATAAATGTGGATATATAATGATATATATATATACATACACACATATATATATATGTATATATATATACTGACCGGCTAAAACCAGAACAAAAAGACTTCGGTTCCAAGATGACAGTGGCAGTGTAGCGACCGACCGTAGCGACCACCAAGTGGTTTCGGAATCCGATTCGGAATCTGATTCGGAACCGGGAGAGTTTTACGTTGGAAGAATTCGAAGAGATCCACCAACAAGGTTTCTCCAATTTCTAGACAATGTAGAGAACATGTAAGTAGATGCAAACTATATATGGTAGTTGTTTGTCGATTTCTGTGTGATTTACGAGTTGCACGACATCTCCAGACCTGTTATGCTCGCCATTCCGGAACTCCTGTTGGACATGTCAATCTTTTCCGAATCGATATACTGGATGTCCGACAAATTCAACATGGGGAAGTTAACACTACCAGGTTATCAAGGTTCCCAGCCATTCCCAGCCAGACTTTTTTTGTCTTTTTTTTATGGGATCATGATATTTTTTTATACCTGATGACTAGAAGTTAAACTTTTTCAGGGAGGGAACCAACCACATATTTGGGGCGAACATCTATTTACCACCTATTTTGGTGTGAAAACCAGGGTAGGGTTTTAAGCCATACCCAAATCCCAAAAGTCATACCGATACGACAGGTGGCTGGACGGAAGGTCTTGCTGTTCGACAGCAGCATCGTCTCTTGGGTCTGTTTGGGCTGAGAGTGGAGGATTTCATGGTACCGCAAATAAATATACACCTATATTATGCTGTTTTTACCACAGCACTCATAGGCGTTGACATGCCTATTCCGTGAAGTATTGGCTGAAAAGAGCCGCGGAGCGAGATTCATGAGGCGTTGAACACCCCTCCTTGTCCAATCGATTCCAGTGACTCTTCATATCCTACTTGAGCACTTCTACCGCTTGCACGGTAGCGGAGCCTGCCTACGGGCGGGCGTGAGACCAGGGACCTACAGCCTCCTATTGCCAGAGCCATAGGAGGAACAACATGGCGGAGAAGCAGAAAAGGATAGAGAAGACGCGAGAAGGAGTTCCCATTTGGGATGGAGATGCCGGAACATATCAGGAGTTTGAAGAGAGCGCTTTGCTGTGGGAGCAATCCATAGCAATGCACAAGCGCTACTTGTGCGGCCCGAGGCTTCTCACAGAGCTGACGGGCACTGCTCGCAGGTTCACTGTGGGCAAGCATCCCGAATGGCTCTCCTTCAATGGAGGCGTGCAGCGGCTTCTGACGTACCTGAGGTCAAACTTGGGCCTTCCACAGATGCCTGAACTGACGGATCATTTGAGCCGTTACTTCCGGCAGTCCAGGCGCAAGAAGGGGGAGACCATGAATGAGTACGTCACTAGGAAGTCAGAACTGTATGCAAGAGCTAGGCAAGGACTTCACAGGGTGATGTCTCACTATGAGAAAAAGAAGCCAGCGTGGGAGAAGAGCTACGGCGGCTATAGCCGTCCGGGGTCCACCGACCCTTGGGCCAACTACAGGAGGACACCCTCCCTGGCTGGCAGTCAGAACCTGAGTGCTGAGGAGATTCAGGATGATCGGGAAGCGCTTGCTCGACCTGATGATCAAGCTGAGGCCACCGAGGATGCAACTGAGGAGCGAAGCTCCACTGGTCCAGGTCCTTCAGGAGACTCCTGGAGTTATCCGGACTGGTGGTCGAATGACTGGTGGAGTACCTCTTGGACACCTTCCGAGAATGCCGACTGGAATGTGGAAGCCCCTGAACTACTACCAGAGTATGTTCAGGGCTGGTACCTCTTGTTTGATTCTGGCCTGGACACCAACGAGCGCAACATGATCGTGGCAGCCCTGAAGGGCGACTTCACTATGACCCGAGTGGCACAGGAGCTACGCAGCCAGTGGACTGATGAGGACCTGCGTCGTCGAGATGCAGCCAATCGTCACTCCAGCTGGTGGGTGGATGAGAATGAAGAGGCCGAGTCTGAGGACTATGACACTGCCTGGGTTGCCCAGGCTCACCGCAACTTCAATGACGAGGGCCTCGCACTCCTGGGTGAAGCTGAAGATGTGGCTCAAGAAGCCCTAGCCATGATGGAGCGCGGGCGTCGCACCTTGAAAGAGGCCAGACAGAAACAACATCAGGTGAGGATGTCTCGGAAGTACTACCGCACCAACTTCAAGCCCTCTGGAAGCACTTCGGCTGTAGCTTCTGGCACAGATCAAAAGTGCTTCCGATGTGGTGGTCCTCACAAGACTTCATCATGTCCAAAGGCAATGGCAACAACGACAGCCTCTTCAGCCGAAGAGCAGGCTGCACCTTTCATCTGTTTTGCACAAGACCAGATCACCAAGGACCATGAGATTGTGGAGCCCTATGTCCCGGACGACCACGAGGTGAACTACCTGGATGCTGGGTTCTCCGATGCTTGCCCAGAGGCCTTCTTTGATGTTGCCGACACCAACAGCATAGGGCCTATCTCCACTCAGATGGCCGTCGAACAAGGCAAGGCTGTCGTTGATGGAGGGGCTACAAAGACCCTTGGCAGCGTGGTGGCCCTCGAGAAGATCATTGCCCTCAACAAGTACAAGCATGGGACTTCTCGTTTGGCCGACCTTGACTTGGAGAACAAGCCTACGTTTGGTTTTGGAAATTCATCAAAGAACCAGTGCGTGTCCACAGCCTCACTCGAGGTTCAAGCTGATGGCAAACCTGGACAAGTACAAGTACATGCGTTGGATGCGGGAGCAGGACCTGTGCTGTTCTCCATTGAGTCCTTACGGGCCTTGGGAGCAATCATCGACTTCTCTGAGGACATGGTCGTCTTCCGCAAGATCAACCCATCCAAGATCATCAAGATGGAACGTTCGGCCACTGGCCATCAGCTGCTGCCCATGACTCAGGATTGGTACAGTGATGCTCAGAGCACTGCACAGCCAGTGCCGAGCCTGAATGCGTTCCTGTAGGGACAACTCCTTTCTTTCCGTGCGCCTGAGATGGAAAGGAAGGTCAGTAGCGATGTTTCAGGCACTTTTCACAACCCCTTGAACACGGTTGGTGATCCGAGCATTCATGATGATGTTGGGTGTGTTGTTCATGACCATGTGGTTGTTGATGATGAAAAACTTTCCCAGGGTTTCCATGGACATGTTGGAAAAATCTCAGACAGCAGTCAGTGTACAGAGCAAGAACAACCTCCTCCTGCAGCTCTCCAGCACAAGCTAGACGAGATCCCCAACGAGTCAGTGAACAAGAGCCATGCCTCGTGCCACCAGAAAGGAATTGGTGGAAGAGCTCCTGATGACCTTTGGCGAAACAGCTCCAAAACAGTGGAGCATCATGGAGATCGAGAGTCGCCTTTTGGAACTCAAGGAAGCCAACGGGATGGTCACTCAGAAAGGGAAGGTACGGCCACCGATGCGCCATGCCATGATCGAACTGAACAAGGCCAGCAAGAAGAAGTCCGACCTTGTGGACTACGTGAACAACAAGCTCATGGTGAAGACCCGCGGCACCGAGACCATTCAGGAGCTGCAGCGCTTGGGCACCAAGAAGATCTACCAGACCACAGCCGCCTCTCCGGAGGACCCTGTGGGGTTCGGGGAACACTGCAGTCTGCAGTACCACGAGCTTCTAGCCCAACACCCACAGTATGCCAGCTGGGTCGTGAAGACCGCCACCGAGGGGGAATGCGACTACCGCCTGGCCCGTCTGGCCAATTGGCTCCAGAGCCCAGAGGCACAGCATCCGATGCCGACCTACAAGCAGACCTCCAGCGGCTACAAGAACACATCGACGCCGGCCAGCGGCTCGAATGGCAAGACCGAGAACATGATGATGCAGATGATGCAGATGATGCACGCCCTCAAGGAGGACGTGGACAATCTGAAAGCCGAGAGGCCTCACAAGAAGGTCGAAGCATCCAGTGTCTCCGAGATGACAGAGTCATCCACAGGCTCTTTTGTGCCGATCCCACAGTAGCTTCAGCTGGGAGTGTAGAAAACTTTAATTTGTCACAGGCGGGAATGCAGGTCGACAGTGAGCTCTGGAGGGGCTCATGGGAAGCCTTACCTGAGCAAAAAGTAAGACACTTGTCCCATTGCAGTGACAGATTGATTTCGAATGCCTTTGAGGCCCTGCTATCACACCAGCGCATAGAGCTGCTGGAAGTGGCATGTTCGGCCGACAGCGTGCTGTCTCGCACCATGCAACAAAAGAAAGGTGACGAGGGTGCGGCCCGACGCTGCTCACTTTTCAATGAGTATGATCTAGGAACCAACCAGGGGATTCACAAAGTCATTCAAGATATTGACCATTATAAACCAAAACATGTTTGGCTTTCTCCGGTTTGTGGACCTTTTTCAGTGATGCAAAACATCAACCAGAGAAGTGAAGCTCAGAAGGAGGCCCTTTCTGAGAAGCGCAAAGCTGCCATGAAACAGTATGTCGGTTGCAGTGTCATATATACGTACTGTATTCAGCATGGTATACATGTCACTTGGGAATGGTCACAATCATGTCAGGCATGGAGGCTTCCAATGATGCAGGAACTGGTGAAGAAACATAATCCATGGTTTGCTGTGGTACGGGGTTGTCGTGTTGGTCTTGTTGATGATGAGAAAAACCCAATTTCGAAAGGCTGGAAACTCATGACCACTCATGCTTTGTTGGCAAAAAGGATGAACATGCCATGTAGCTGTGGGCCTCACCAGAAACATGTGAAGTGCGAGGGTTCCCTTACCAACAAAACTGCCTATTACACCCCCGAATTTGCCCGAAGGGTCTGTGATGCGTTGATTCATGGAGCGGAAGATGAAGACCTCAAAAGGGAGTTTGTGGGAGACCACCAAATTGGGGAAACTTTTGGTAATGGGATCAGTTGCAGTTGTCACCACATTCATGATTCTCAACATGGTTTTGTTTGCGGTTCATGTGTTCATGATGAGCATGAAAGAATCAAGGGAACCAATCATGTGAAGTGTGACAGTAAGGGGAACCACGAAGTTCTGGTTGGGGAAGATAACCAACAAAGGGGTCAGGGTCTGACTATTGAAATAAGAAAACGACTGTACCTCTTACATGCTGCCACTGGCCACGGGCCAACCAGACACCTGGTGCAAGCCCTGCGACGCAGGGGAGTGTCAGAGGATGTGCTCAGGGAAGCCGAACGTTTTGAGTGTTCAGTTTGTAAGGAACGGGGTAGACCGAAGCCACGGCCGTTAGCCACCTTGGAGCCTCACCCCCCAAAATGGGCGTCTGTGTCAGGGGATATTGGGCACTGGGAACACCCACAAACTAAGGAGTCCTATCAATTTTTGATGTTCGTGGACGAGGGATGCCGTTTTCGTGTTGGAAAAATTGTTCTTACGGGGAAAAGAAGTCACCTTACTGCCAATCAGTTTGTTGAAACGTTTGGGGAACATTGGGTTCAGTATTTTGGTTTTCCTAATCAGCTCAGGGTTGATCCGGATGGTAGCTTCAGGAGTCATGTGGTTCAAGAATACTGTGATAGGCACCAAATAATGTTGGACATTATTCCGGGTGAAGCTCACTGGAAGGTGGGCATTTGTGAACAGGCTATTCAGGGTACCAAGACTCTCATGAACAAAATAGCTGAAGATGACCCAGAAGTCACCGCAGCAGAAGCTTTGGCTGAAGCCACTAGGACCTTTAATAGCCGAGAACTGATCCGAGGCTATTCGCCCATCCAACATGCCCTTGGCCGTGCGCCTGATGCCACCGGGCGACTTTTCCCTTGCGGCCCCAGTGAATGTCCAGAGCTGCTGGTAGAGAACGCCTCTGGCGAGATGGATCGCCAGCTCCAGCGAATGCAAAGTGCGGAAAAGGCCTTCCTTGAATGGACGGCAAGCCAGAGACTCCAAAAAGCCAAGAACTCAAAACCCAGAGATGTCACCAACTATGAGCCAGGAGACCTAGTGTATGTGTGGAGAAAGCAAGTGAGCGGCCAAGCAGCCATTAAAGGTGGCTCGTTTGTGGGGCCAGCCCGCATCCTGGCGGTGGAGCAACATCGCTCTCCCGACGGGACCCACAAGCAGGGCAGCTCAATTTGGTGCGTCAGAGGGAGAAGACTTCTCAAGTGCTCCCCAGAGCAACTACGTCGAGCCTCCGAGCGGGAGGTCCTCTTAGAAGAACTACATGCCAAACAATACGATGACTGGGACTTTGATAGAGTAGCTCAACAACTTGGAGGGAACGAGTTTCTGGATGTGTCCACCGAAGTACCCTCTTATGCAGAATGGCTATGAGCTCAAGATCCAGTCCAAGAATGGCAACCAATGAGAAGATGTGCAAGAAAACGAGGCCCCATGGTAGATGAGATGAGTGGCATGGGACCGGCTCCTCCAACATCCAGGCCAACAGGGCGATCCAGGAGTCCAACTTCCAGGCCTACGCCTTCTACATCTTCAGGAGCACCCGTGTCACAGAGGCCTCGAATGAGTGCCCAACAAGGCATGGCTGCTGCCCCACCATGGTGGAACCAGTCAAGTGTCCAGGAAGTGTTTGCAGTCACCGAGTGCACCTTCTGGATGGATGAGACCGCGGCCGTGGCCGTGGAGGTTCCCATGCCAGACACACGTGCTGGATCTGAACGAGCTCTTCGAGATCTCCCTTCTTACTTTGCCAGTAGCTTGAAGAAACGGTCAGCAGTTGAAGTCTGTGAGCGTCACCTATCTGAGGAAGAGCGACAACAGTTCCGATCTGCAAAGGCCGTGGAAGTAAGTAACTTCATAGCTGCCAAGGCTTTTGAAGCCCTTCCAGAGAAACTTCGCCCAGCACGCGAACAAGCAGTGAAGATGCGTTGGATACTGACATGGAAGCAGAAGGAGGATGGCAGCCGAAAGGCGAAAGCCAGAGCCGTTCTTTTAGGATACCAAGATCCCTGCTATGAACAGAGAGCAACGACTTCTCCAACCACGACTCGCCAGACCAGGCAACTGCAGATGCAATTAGCCGCTTCATATCGCCACAAGATGCGAAAAGGTGATGTGACAGGTGCTTTCCTGCAAAGCAGGCCATACCCTGATGACCTTTTTTGTATAGGATGCCCAGAGATCTGTGAAAAGATGGGACTCCCAGCAGAGTCAATCACCAAAGTGAAGAAAGCCTGCTATGGCTTAGTTGATGCGCCACTGGAATGGTATCGTTCCATTTCAGATTGCTTTGCAAAACTCGGATTGCAAAAATGCTGGAGTGACGCATGCTGCTGGGTTTATGTGGTTGATGGGGTTACCAAAGGGATTATTTCTGGTCATGTTGATGATTTCCTTTTTAGTGGGGATGAAACGCATGAGGGTTGGTGTACTGTTCTCAAGAGTATCCAAACGGAATATAAATGGGGAGATTGGGAAGAAAAAAGGTTTACCCAATGCGGAGTTCAAGTGGAACAACATGAAGATTTTTCTTTTTCGTTGTCACAATCGAAGTATGTTGAAGACTTGAAATATATTAACCTGAGAGCCTTTAGAAAGAAAGACCGAAATGCACCCACTGAGGAGTCTGAGAAAACACAGCTTCGGGCCTTGCTGGGAGGGGTCTCATGGCACGCACAACAAGTTGCGCCCCACTTCAGTGCTGAAGTCGGCTTGCTGTTGTCAGAGGTGAACAAGAGTACTATAGAGACCATTTACAAGGCTAACAGGTTACTTGACAAGGTCAAAGATATGAAAGAACACTGCATGAAGGTACATGCCATAGAACCACACATGTTGTCACTGTTTGCATGGGTAGATGCCGCCTCTCAGAACCGCGTAGATGGCTCAAGCACACAAGGCATTATAGTTGGAATTTCATCTCACCGGTTACGTCATGGCAGTTGTGAGCCAGTCACCTTTGTCGCCTGGCATTCGCAGAAGATTGGCAGGATCTGCCGCAGCCCCGGAGCAGCAGAAGCAGCAGCAGCAAACAACGGAGAAGATCTCCTCTTTTTTGCGAGATTCCAACTGGCAGAAATGATGGGAGCTCAGGTCAATGTGAGAGACATCAACAGTGTCGTCAACCAGATCAGTGGATGCCTGGTTACTGACTCCAGGAATGTGTACGACAAGTTAGAGACCGAGGTCTTGTCCGTGAAGGGCGCTGAGAAGAGAACAGACCTGGAGTTACTCTCCTTGAAATCTGCCCAGATTCGCAACGCTGTGGAGATTAGATGGGTTCATAGTGAAGCTCAGCTATCAAACGGGTTGACCAAGAGCAACGAGCACAAGCAACTGCACCTGTTCTACCGCATGGGCCACAAGTGGCGCATAGTCGAAGATGAAGAAAGAGCGTCAGCTCGGAAAAGGAAACTGCTAGGCCTGGAGCCTCTTGAAAACAGAAAGAGTCAAGGGCCAGAAATCGAGCCGGAGACACCATGGAAACCCACGAAATGATTTTCGTCTTGTTTGGTTTTTCTTTGTCTTGGTTTTGGTTTTGGAGAAAATGTTCAAGGGGTAGCATCACCATCTCACAAGGAGAAAGAAGATGCGGGGGGCATGCTGTTTTTACCACAGCACTCATAGGCGTTGACATGCCTATTCCGTGAAGTATTGGCTGAAAAGAGCCGCGGAGCGAGATTCATGAGGCGTTGAACACCCCTCCTTGTCCAATCGATTCCAGTGACTCTTCATATCCTACTTGAGCACTTCTACCGCTTGCATATTATATATATATCTATATGTATATAGATAGACATGTATATATACATATATATATACACAGTACATATATATATATATTTACTACTGTACATATATAATCATATACATATATATAGACATATATATATAGAAATATATATATATACATACATATATATATGTACATATATATATATGTATATATATATATGTATATATATATGTATATATATATATACACACTACTATACATATAATCTATATAATTATATATATATACATACATAGATATGCATATGTAAATAGATAGAATATGCGTATATATATATATATACATCATCAATTAGGGGCTATGTAAATTATGAACATCATAGGGGTCCATTAATTTTTCTATCGCCCTCTTATGATTCAATTTAGAGTTTGGGGGGATATCATGGTATCCGAATAAAAACAACCCTGCCATCACCTGGAATTGGAAAGTAGTCTTCCACTCATGGCAGGCTCCGTTACTTCGGGTGGTGCAAAAATCAATTCGATCTGGAATTCCAGATGACATCTACAGAACATTTTGCTAATGAATTGCTAGAATCTATAATTTCACAGCAAATGCAATTGCTAATCATCATTTTTGCCGTGAAAATTCGCCATTTGTCCCATCCCCGACTCACCGATGACTGACCCATCTATGGCATTCATCGGCATTATAAGTTTCCACCCCTTGAGCTCGTCATTTTTCGCTTATTATTATTATTGATAATTAATATTGACCATTCATATCCCCCCAAAAATCAGAAACGTCATAATTAGTATCTTGGAGGAGGACGTCAAGGAACTGGAGGACCATTTGAACCTTCCGGAATACGAGCTCATTTGTTAGAATATATCCCAATATACAGTATCCCCATTATAATCAAGGTTTAGTGATGATATACCTTACCCCTGACCTTTTTAGAGACCTTTTTTTGATTGGTTGTTGCTGGGACCACCATTGTGTTCCTAAGATTTTTAGACTGCCATTGTTTAGGTCAACCAGTGTTTTGCTGGTAACTCTAAAGGTCATATAATGATGTATGCCCATGAATATCCCCCATGAATATCCCCAGGTGATAGGTGATAAAGCCCAAAAAAGTAGAACAGTAGAGTCCAACTAGAATAGTCATGAATTATAGGGGAAGTACGTATAACATTCACATCCCCTAGCATGAATATCCCCATATATCCGAATTTCGTACCCCCAAATAGTAGGGAACATTAATAATCATTAATATCCAGAATAGGTGACTTTCCATACAAGCAGAGTATAAACAATAGGTAAATTAACATAGACCCTGAAACTGACCAATTTATAGTGGAAACTAGTCTTTCAACCCGTATCTGGCAGGGTCTATGTTAATTTACTGGAGGGTATATTCCCCTTTTCCCCAACGTAAAGCAAGTTTTCTGTGCGTCAACGAAGGGCGATTTCGTTGCCATGGGGGCCTCACCACGTAGCTAATCACAACTTCCCACTTTGGAAGCTAACCCCCCAATAGAACACTTGGAAACTTTATCCTCTGGTTATGTCAAAATAGCTATTGAAAATGACCATAGAAATAGTGGATTTTCCCATTGATAGCATGGTGATTTTCGATAGTTATGTTAGTTTACCAGAGGGTAACATATCTAACATTACGCAGCATCCATGTATATGGCTCCGGTAATCAAGCATGGCTGGCTGGAAAATACTTTTTTTCCACATTTCTAACTGGGAAAATCATCCATAGATAGGGGATATATCCAGCTCTATAGGCGATTGCAATTAAATATCTCCATTATTCCCCATGACCATATCCTGTGATATAGGTAGATACTGATACTTAATATATGATTTACTTTCTTTTAGTGATCCCCACCAACTGACATTCTATCTGGCATATATTCTGACATTCTATTGTACTCATATTCTGACATGTTTTATGGCATTCTTGCTGACATAATAACCTGACATTCCATCTGGCATGCTATCTGACATTCTGCATCTGTTGGGATCCGTGCCCTGCCTGATCTGGAGCAGCGAGACGAGGAGGAGAGGAGAAGAGTTGCACCTTTGTTGAAATCTAGAGACCCTCACCTGTGGCAGGTGGGGAAAAACCAATTAAGATACCCTATGGACATTGAAGATTCAAGAGAAGACCGGGAATCAACGACCAAATTTGGGCCCTAATTTGGGGGTACCTACCATATTAAAGGCTTCAGATATGTCAGGGGATATGCACCCCAAATATGGCCAAATACCTGCTTCTGTAACCAGGAGATCTGCAGTTAACCCTTCAGTGCCAGACAAAGGCATGGAAAACAACGGGTGATACCACCCAAATTATACAAGGTGGTGCCCCATAGTTAGCTAAGTTGGTTTATAACTCCAATAACTATAGTTTATGGTAGATATATCTATAGTTAATGGGGTTTATATACCAATTTATAACTAGGGGGCACCACATTGTAGGTCATTAGATTATCCCCATTCTTCCGATCCCAATTGATATAGACTGACCATATCCTGTGATATAGGTAGATACTTATTCTATAAAAACATCAGCCATTCTGTGGACACCAAAGATAATCAATGATCATTTTGGATCTGGGGTACCATGAATTAGGAAACCTCCATATACCTCTGGACCAGAATAAGAGTTACTTATATGGAGGATATATGGTAATATACTTATTTTATACCTCCTAATATAGGTACCATGAGTTAGGAAACCTCCATATACCTATGAGTTAGTAACTCTTATACCTATGAGTTAGTAATATAGCTTAGGAAACCATGAGTTATTTTATCAATACCTATATTACATCCATACAACTCTTGGCTCAGATGCGACCTCTGGACTTGGTGGTGAGCTTGGGAGATCTCAAGGACCATGGAGTGCAGCAGTGGTGCGCCGCGGACGTCCGGACGTGGACGTGGCCAGGGACGTGGTTCGGACTAAGATCTATGATGTTAGAGGAAAACGACAAAAACACAGACGTTTAAACGTTTCTGTTTTTTTTATTTTGGGTTTTGGGTATGACACGAATCCAAATGTGCTTCAACAGGCCTGCTTCTGAGCAAGAAATTGGCAATTTATCAGGAATTTTGCTTCCAAAAAATGCTGGTTTTTAGCCAGAATGGAGTTCTCATTCTGGCGAAGGGTATATATGGGTTTTCATGGGATTTCATGGGGTCATGTTTCAAGCTTTAAGTGAAGTGGAGTACTTTTCTATGCTGTAAAACACAGCAAAAACACCCATTGATGTTTGCAGGGTATCTAAGATTTGCAATCACAAGGAAACCCACAGATAGGTTATGCTCTCGTTGTTCAACAGCTTGCAAACGGGAAAATGGTTAATTTTCATAGATATATCAACGAACTAAATGGCCCTTTTCAATAGGTATGTGAAATTACCAGAGGGGTAACACAGGTTTATTCTATATGTATGTATATCTATATATCTATATCTATATCTATATTTGTATCTATATCTGTATATATATATATGTATATATGTATATCTATCTATCTATCTACCTATCTATCTATCTACCTATCTATCTACCTAATCTGATCTAATCTGATCTAATCTGATCTAATCTGATCTAATCTGATCTAATCTGATCTAATCTGATCTAATCTGATCTAATCTGATCTTATCTAATCTTATCTGATCGCATCCTATCCTATCCTATCCTATCCTATCCTATCCTATCCATTCCATCTATCTATCTATTTATCGATCTATCTACCTACATTATACTGTATCATAAAAGTCAGGTCGTGTCAGACAGATGCAACCTGGTTCGGGTCGTAATGTTCGGGTGCGGTGAGGTACAAGCTTGAAAACCAGCCGGTATGGAACCACAGTGGAGCACTGGTGAGGCATGATTGATCTGGGATTTGAGCTGAGCACTTTCAAAAACCTTGGGGGAGCTGGGCCGATTGTAAGGGCTAATCCCCATTAACCAACCATTCCAAATTGGCCGGGATCTTCTGATAGGATTTTGAAACTGCTCAAGTGACCAAAGTAGGAATATACCACCCGATGCAAGAAATGTCCACGTCATGAGGTAAAGCACCTGCAAATAAGGTTTCTAAAAACGGTTAAGCACATGTTAAGCCCAGAAATTGGGTCTCGGACTTGTTGATTTCTCGGGTCGGTCATCAGTTGCTGGGATGATTCTCTCCAAGTGCTCCATTCTCGAGTAGAAGACCTTGCGTTTCTATCATGCTTATTGCAAGAAGGGGACCCTTGAAACTAGGTCAATCTTACATGGATACCTAACCATTCCCATTAGTCTTTTGGTATTAATGGGAATATCTAGGTTCACCAGCAAAGCATTTGTCATCTTTTGCAGGGTATCTGGCTGATTGGCAATGGAAATAAGCATGATGACATGATGAAGTCCAGCAAAACAAATGCAACAATTCATTACAAATTGGTCACCTTTAAAGTTTATGTACCATTAAAGTTTCCGAGGGGGGTAAATTGTCCATTTTCAGAAAGCCAAATTCATCATATTGGGTATATATCCGGTTACATCCCCATTCTATCCCCGAAAGTGGTCGGTGTAAATCCACATTTTTCTTGGCGTTCATCCCGTTGAATTACCAGCTGAGCAGTGTTCAACATGTTGATTGAATACTGGTTGGTGCTTTGGAACCATGGAATTTTATGACTTTCCATTCAGTTGGGAATGTCAAAATCCCAACTGACGAACTCACTCCATGATT